CCTACCGCTGCTCCGTAGCATCTCTCACTACGCCTTCTACTACTCTGTACACCAACTCCTCCAGCAAAGTTGGATCTTCCCCTATGTCTGATGACACCGTCAATACTTCTAAGCTCTTCTTCCCCAAAGGAGTGTACACCACAGCTTCAACCAAAGGTCCCGAATTTTGCCTCAGGGTTTCTTCCTCCTTTTCTGCCCCCTTCTCTTCAGCTTCCTTTGGTGCGTTGCCATCCAACGCTGCTGAAGGTCTCCACTTTGAAGGCTGAAGGCCTCTCTCTGAAGGCTGAAGGCCTCTCTCTGAAGGTCCTTCCTCCTTCGTCCCGGCAACATCTGGTTCCAATTCCGCCCATTGTGCCGAAGTGAGACGACCTTGTGATACAACGACACTGCTTTCGGTGATGTTGTCGTCCGCAATTTTCAGTCTTCGTGCTTTCATCTTTGTACGAGCTCGAACGTTGGCAGTCTTGAGTTTGGTGGGTACCTACCGTCAGGCACGCAATCCGGCATGTTGATCAAGTGTTTCTAGAATCGCGACCTCATGCAGCTTCCGTCTCTTCAGCGGCCGTTCTTCCACTCTGTCTTTCGTTCCGTCTACCATCCCTAAAGGCAATGCAAGTTGAGTATCTTCTTGGTCGGTATCGACCTTGTTGGCATCCAGGATCTCATCTCCATCTTCCGCATGTGTCTGGAGCGAGAATTTCTTCTGCTTTGCTGCGGTCAATAACCCCATCCCTTTGTAGAAATTAACTAGGAAAGGAGACAAGTAATTTGCCGACCCTCGCAGAACATTACCAATGTGCTGGCGTGTGACCGTCCACAAGATTCTCGTCCAGTGAATACGTTCTTCTCGTAGAGCTCGTTCTACAAATCCGACTTGCCAAATCGTCATGTAGGTTGTTCGAGACGGTCGAAGGATCTGCAGCAAGGCGACTGCCACATTCCTTCATAGGTGATCGTGGTACCTTGTCGTCCGGTATCCATTCTTGCCGGTGCGCGGATTCTTGAACAGCACCGCGTACGTCTTCTATTTAGCGCGCGTTACCTTGACACTCTCGCTGTCAAAGGTGAGATCGCCATCTTCTCATGCGCACCGCCCCATGACTTTCTCCCAATCCTAGATTTGCCATCGTTCGAGATAGCCTCGATGTTCATCAGTCTCTGGGGTGCGCGCATCAACACACTTTTAAACCATTGCCGCCCAAATCCAATTCCATCCTCACAGTAAGAAATTGAGCTTCGCTACAATCGGCTCATTGCGATAGGCCCGTAATCTCACCTTATGCACCTTCAACGCGGTCAATCGAATTACTCAGGCACGTTCCATCGCTGTTTCTGCAATATCAAACTTCCGCACCTTAATCGCCTGTCAATTTGCAACTTTGGTATCGTGAAATGTGGGGGACGAACTTGCGCTTTTGCTGGTGTAGTCCGCCGCCGCAACAGTAGTGTCAATTCGTGCAAATTGTAGGTGCCGCCATTCAAATTTCTTTCGCGTGCGGCTCCATCTTTTACTTCAATGGGGATCAGTCGCTGGAAGTCATTCGTAGGTAACTCCGAAGGCTCTAAAGCCGAAGGCCGAATATCCTCTGCCGAAGACTGCACTAGGCCTTCGGAGAAATCTGGTCTCCGCTTCATTTCTTCATAGCTCAGACCCCACTGGTCCTTCCTCCATTGGAACCAACAGACCAAGCTCTATCTAGTGGAATGCTTCATATTTCCTATTCCTACTCAGCGTCCACGCTGAAATTCCTTATTCACTCCTCTACTGAGTGCTACTGCTCTAAAAGTTAAAACTTACTTTTATTTACTTCCCAAACTACATTATTTCCAAAAAAATGAAAATAATGCACTACCACACAAGGTGTCTTGAAAAGTTTCGCGAAGATCTTTTCCTCGGCCTAAGTCACCTTCACGCTCTAGCTGTTGTAGGTGGAATCGCCTTCCTCTCTTGCACACGGTCCCAAGACTTGAGCCCAATGCTCAATTGTCCAACTCTCAAGATTGCCACGAAGTTCATTAGTACGTTCATTGATTCTTGCCAATACGCTCATAATTTGAATTCCGGTAGCTTCAATGCTAACAATCGAAGACAAACAACGCCTTCAATGATTTGGTGATAGATCTCTAGAGTACGAGGAAGGAGCTTTCTGACATTAAGAAGGTTATGCATCTATTTAGCTCGCTGCCTTCTTTCTACCACCTACTCTTGAAAATCCTCTAGCATCGTAATAAGATCATTATCATTCACAATAAGGTTGTAAGTGACCTCTTGGTAGAAGAGGTGGAACAAGAAATGATGTCATTATCTCGTCCTCCACTTTTGGGACAACACTAATTGTGACCCTCAACCTTGACTGACTGAAGTTAGTCACGTTCAAATGTTTGAGGGATACCAACGATTTGCGGAACGTTGGATCCAGGTGAACGAGATACAGATCCAAGAGTTGATCCTTGAGAGAATGAGATTTCAGTCTAGGGAGAAGTTTCCAAAGAGTAACACGGTGTCTTGTTGGAGATGTGGCAAGATTGACCACATCAAGATAGAATGTCATGTGAAGTCAATGATGTGGTTCCTCCTTCATTGGCGGACGTCCAAGAACACTTCGACTCTAAGGAGAACGATCTGTTGGACGATGATCTACGATAGCTAGAGTGCTCAGTATATGACTGCGAATCAAGTTATGGATAGCAGAGTGAAGCACTTGGAGAGTTTCATACAACATTGTGCTACTATGTAGGTTGTGTATGGGAAACACAAATAGAGTTTGCAAGCATGATATCTTCAATTACCTCTTTATATATTTACTCTATCTTGTGATGGTTACAACTTAGTTCTAATTAACTCTTGGTATAAAGAGAAGCCTTGTGTTAGGTTTCATTCTAACACTTTCCGCGGAGTAATTATATCGGTTACAGAGGTTATTGTTTCCTCTATGCTAGCAGGTTTATTAAATACCTTTTATATTATTACTCTATCCTATTATTACTACAATTTAACTCTAGTTAACTTTGGTTAAGAGGGGCTTTGTGTTAGGTTTTTTTTTGCAACTTCCCGCGGAATAATGATATAGGCTAAGGAGTTTATTGTTCTCTTAACATGGGCTAAGAGGAAGATTTTTGAGATTAACTGATATTAACGAGTAAACATGATACTTGCTAAATATTGTCAAGAAGTATAACTAAGGCTAGTATATTTAATAATAGTGAAATCAGATTGCACCAGGTCTTTTTTTCATTGCAATATATTCTCTCTCGCATACTCCAGCCGTGGATGTAGCCCTCACACTAAGTGAACCACAAATATTTGTGTCTCGTATTTATTTTTTGACTAGCACTGGTTGTGTCTCCTATTTGTCTATCTGGCTATGGCTATCTTGCGTGTCTTGGTCTAGCAAATGACATACAATACAAATAATTACAAAATAGACTATGAGTTTTGTATCCAATCTTTATATCCTTATCAGATGATAGATAGATATATATATATATCCCTTTAAACAATCTAACCATTTTTTTCCATAAATTAGTTATTTTACACTCAATAAAAGTGAAATAATTGCGCTAGAATTAAAAAAATTATTCGTTATATTCCAAGAAGCCTTTTTTTCTCTTGATATAACAAAAAGGTCACTATATATATTTCAAAAAATAATCTTATGTATTTGAAGTTTTGATTTTTTAAATGATTATTTCAATTTAAGAACTTTGTATAAAAATTTTATCATTCAGAACATAATTACGATTTCAATCAAAGACTGCTCTCTCACCTGTGGAAGAGTTCTTTTGGACCATAAATTTATTATATATATATATATATATGATATTTTATTAGTCTTAAAAAATACTACGAAGGCTTCCCTCATTCTTACACTAGCTTTCGAAAAACAGTGCAGCATATGCGTAACAAGTAAGCGCTTCAAGTTTTCACATTTGTACAAACAATGCAAAACAAATTGTAGAGCCAGCTGCTACTCCAAAGTCATTGTCGCCATCCGTACTGGAAAACAACGTAGCGGAGCACCTCATATTCTTCCGGTCCTTGCAAAGTAAACTTTTTTGTGTTTTTGTGTTTTTGCAAGTTACATTTTCTCACCCTTAAACGTCGACGTTTTACTCCAAGTCATCGTTAGGAGTATGCCAACTCCCGGTGGGTGTTTTCATCAATTCCGCCAAGTAGCCCTTCCTACAAGGCTAAGTGCAATTTAGCGGTGAGGGAATTGTACGATTCATACCCAAGACTACTGCAGTAGATCCAGAGTAAAATCATTAGAGATGACTTGGGCAACTACAATACTCTACACCTGTCACCCCGGACTGAGTTGGCGCGATACTGATCCATGCTGCCAATATCTTATACGTCGGACCTATAGGAACTTAAAAGATGGCCAATATCATGAACATTCTCATAATGATTTCTTCTGGTTGGTGGGCTGGAGAGGTGAAATCTCAAACCACCTGCCATCAAGAAGAATATGATGAGCAATGTTTTGTGAGACGGAAAGAGCAGAGGGCTTCGTCGGAAATTCATAGCAACTCTTTTGAAATGCTTCCCAACCTACTTGAATAAGAAAAACGTGGATTATGAAGTTTTTAAATATATGACGGCATAGTATTCGGGCTCTATTGCCGCCTTGTGAGCTAAATAAATAATACAAAGGGACAAACTAAATGCACATCGACATCATTCATTTCGAGCATCAGATGAGCTGGTCTACGCAAATTGAAACCGTCCTTCTTCCACAGAAACAAGTGACACTAGCTAGAGCCATTCAATCCAATTAAAATCGGAGCCATTTAAAAAAAAGAGGTATCTAAGGTCCTTTTCCGGTCCCTTTTTCGTGAACGAATATAATTAATTTATCGATACACTTAGCCTTGTAAGCCAATGGTCCCACGCCGTTGGAGGGGAGAATGGTTCCTCACCGGAGGGGCAGGTTTGGCCTCCATCGCGACGGCGGGATAAAATGTGGAGGAACGGATTGCTGAGATAAGAGGCTCCGGTTTTATCCACAGCCCGCCACCCGCGCCTGCCTGCCTGCCTGCGCGCTTCCAGCTCGATGTCTGTGGCTTCTGGAAGGAGCGCAGCAGCGGAGCGCGCCAGCGGCGGAAAGTGGAGAGAGAACGGAGGAAAGCGGAAGCAGCAGCAGAGCACGAAAGAAAGCAAGAAATCAAGAAACGTGCGGAAGGTGGGATTTGATGCCAAATGTCGCCGATTGTTAATTTGTGTCATCATTCCGCTTGCAGTCCATCGGCCGAGTTCATCTTCAAGCTGCGCAAGTCGTGCAATAAGTCAGCGGGAGTGGGAGTGGGGAGCAATGTCGCGGTGAAAGAGGTCCCGAGTTATGGGAGTTTGGAGAAATCGGTGTCCTGCCGATCGTCTTCGTTGAAGGGAAAGACTTTTCGGCTTTCGGAGTTTTCCAATTCGGTGTGGCTCGCCAAGGAGGCTGCCGGGGGTTTTAGGATCGAATGGGATCGTCCACGGGAGCTACTCGTTGTGGCGGAGGAATCCGGGAAGCGGGACACCGGAAGAGGAGGAGGAGGAGGAGGAGGAGCTGAGAGCGTCAAGCCCTCGAAGAGATGGTCTGGTTCGGAGAGGGTGAAATCTAATGCTAAGGATTCCCCGGAGTCGTCGTTGACAGCCTCCAAAGCCGTAAAGAAATTCATCAAGGCTCAGGGAAAAGATTTGTCGGAGTCATCGAAACCTACCAAGTCTTTGACGAAAATTCTAAAGCGAGTGGGGAGCGGGAAGAGGGAGGTAACTCTGTCCACCAAAGATTCTGTGCAGCAGAGGGAGGGCTTGAAAACGAGTAGAAATCTAGATTTAGCGAAGAAGGCACTGAATACCAACGATGCTACACTAGCAAGAGTTTTCAAGGATCGAGTGTCGGAGGAAAACGTTCAAGTGACATCTGGTACAGGTAGAATTCAAGCGGACTCTTTGCAAACGAAGAGCAGTTCCCGATTTGAAACTCTATGGAAAGTTGGTGAGGGCGAGGAGGAGAAAAATTCTGAATTGGCCAGAATAGAGGTTAGTGGCACTAGAAATGTCAGTGGAACCGTCCGCCGTTTGGAAGCTGATAGAATTGTGGACGTCGAAGTGGAGGTCGTTTCATGGAGGGAAAGGCATATTAAAGCCAACGTTTGTGTGGAAGCGAGCGATCAAATGGTCTGGAATGTTCTCACGGACTACGAGCGTTTAGCAGAATTCATCCCAAATCTTGCTAGAAGGTACTAGTTCACTACTTTCTCACTGATTTGAGTTTCACTTCTACATTTACTCTAATAATTCAACTTCAGAAACATTAAGCACTTTTGTGTGGACTGGCAAATTGATTACAAGGAATTGGCAATGATCTCATGTCATCAGCAATTCCGGTGGAAGATCAGACCATCTGAAAGTTTTTACTTAACCCATTTCTTATGCGGAATTTGGAATTTACAGTGAAAGGATCCGCAGCCCACAGCCTGGCCGTGTATGGTTGTTGCAACAAGGGGTGCAGAGTTCCATGTATTGGCACATTGAGGCTCGTGTTGTCCTTGATCTTGAAGAGCTTCCTCTTGAGGTATGCCCGACGTGCAATGCAGAACCCCAGATTGTCAAGTTTTAATGTCTCACAGAACACAATTCTTACTTCTTCTGTATTTTTACATTCAGCCCGATGGGAAAGAACTTCGATTTTCAATGGTAGATGGCGACTTTAAGCGCTATGAAGGGAAATGGTATCTCCGACCAGGTCCAAGGTGTGTAATCCTCACGTATTAAGTTCTGTGAACCTTGCACATATTGTAGTTTGAGTATTCTAGTTACTTTACCGATTGTTATTCGTGATGGTCGTAGTTGTAATCACTCCTCCGTTTCGGCAGCTCAAGATAACATGTGTTTTTTTAGTTGTCGTGAAAGAGTTCGTTTTAGACGGAGTACTGTCGGTGCAAATGATACTGATCGTAGTGTGTTCTGGCTGCACTTCGTCTATTCGGTATCGCTTCATAATCTATGTCTGCCAATCATTTTTTATCTACTCTGTCATGTTTTTGCCTCGGTTTTGTGGCAGGCCTGGAACAACAATGTTATTTTATGAAGTTAGTGTCACACCTAAATTGTTTTTTCCGGCTCCCTTTGTAGAAAGAATTATTAGAGCAGATCTCCCTGTAAATTTAAGTGCTCTTGCGCAGAGAGCTGAATCAGATCCCTCCGACTGGCAGAGAAGTCTGGCCCTTCCTAAACCTAAGTTGAAGCCCACACCTTCCCCAATCCGATCCTTCCTTAATAAACTTTCCTCTCCAAACTTTGTTCAAAGATTTCCCGTAGAATCTATCAAGACCGCCCTTCAGTTTCCTTCTCTGATAGAAAGGATTGGAGTAGATGCTGTCCAGAGGAGTTTATTAAACTCGAAAGAAGATGAAACGAGCACCTGGAATTCAAGAGAACCAAGATGGGGTGCTTCTTCAAGAGCTTGTACCATGGAGCGACCATGTTCAGTGGACGAAGTCCACTTGAGACGCTTGGACGACTTACTTGTAATTTTCTTCACCCTGTGGTTGTTAAAATTGCGAAAACAAGATGGGTGTACTATGACTTCTCAAACTTAAGGAAACTGTCGAGAATGGAGTTGTCGTTGGTTGCAAGAGATAATGCTCACCGAGGAAAGGAGGAATTTTATGATATGACTTGGCGAGAGAATCTGAGGAGTCAGACTAGATGGTAGCGGTCTGTTGCCAAGTCAAGATCTAGATAGTGCATCTCGAAGAACATCACTTTCAGTACAGTGTTTGACTCAAATAGTATTGCAGGAAAACGGGGGTGTCCACCGACGGGTGGTTGCTGCTATAACCGTGGAGTCACCCATTAAGGATGTATGGACCGTTCTTACAGACTACGAATGTCTATCAGAGTAAGAACAATGCTCACTCAAAACTCGCAATTTTTTAGCCTTTCCTGGTTCATCTTTTCGTCTTCCTTCTATGATATTTATAAGAGGAAGGTTGATTTCAGGCTTGAGGTGTATGTGAGAAGGATCTCATATCTGTCTTTTTATTTCACCTGTGATCAGGTTTGTGCCAAATTTGGCCAGCAGTAAGATAATATCACGAGAAAATAATCGAGTAAGACTTTTACAGGTCAGTCTCACTGCCTTTGGGCCTATTTCCATGAATTTGCGTTACGTGACTGCAACTTGAGTTTTATAACTGTGTGATATTCTGAGCAATGTTTCAGCAGTTAATTCGGATGATTCCAGATATATCATCCGCAGTGCCGGGTTTTAAAATTGACTCTCTGGGATAGCCATAGCTTGCTACCACTCCTCTTCACCTTCATACGTAGCTTTCCCCACTCTTGAGTTGAGACAAATAGGTGTGTACTGCGACCTTTGTTCCTTAAAATTTTAGCAACATATATAGGGCCAAGCTTGAGTTTGAGGTCCTGACTCAAAAACCCAATCGAAAAGGTGGCTGATAACCGCTAATCATTACCTAAAGCCCTAAAGTAACTCAGAATTTACCGATGTTAAAATTCAGTAACTAACTTGCAGTGTTTATAATTACGACTTGACTACCTTATACAGACAGATACTGACTCTGAGATTAACAACTACATCACCAAGGAAGTCCGTCGCTGCGGCTTAATTTTCAATTCGAGGGAGGCATTAGACTTACTTCAGCTTGCACTCTTTGGAAATTGCCTATTGTTGGCCACTGGATAGACTATGACAAGGTGAAATTACTTACATGGTCATACCTGTGTCTGCAGGAAGGTTGCAAGTGTATCTTATACATGGTACTCCACGCGCGTGTTGTTCTTGATCTGTGGGAAAAGCCAGAGCAGGAAATCTTATTCCAGCAAGTAGAAGGGGACTTCGCTTCTTTTCAAGGGAAGTGGACTCTAGAAGCACTTGGATCTCAGCATACCTTGCTGAAGTACGTCGTCGATACAAAAATGCATAAGCATTGCCTTTTGGCCGAGGCAATAGTCGAAGAGGTATCTATCTGTCTGAAGAATACACAAAATTCTGGGCTAAGCATGTATATCAATTATGAATGTTTTCTGTGGGAACATCGTCAAAGCCTGATACTTTTTCTAAGAGCCACCTCAATTACAGCCGCTTTGTATTTGAATCTTGACAGTGTCCACTGTTGTCATTCAGGTAATCTATGAGGATCTCCCTGCGAACCTCTGTGCCATAAGAGACCGAGTAGAGCATCTCAAGTTAAAGCCTCCAAGCGCTCAAACCGTATCACCACCTGAACCTTCCACTGGATCTGATGACAGTGGAGAAAATGATAAACCTACCAGACAGCAACCTAAACCGTTGCTAAAAGGTGGGAACAAAAGGTTTCGAGTGGCAGGTCTTCAAAAGGATTTCAAAATTTTGGAGCGGGAGTTGTTAGCTTTTATTGAGGAAAACGGAAAGGAAGGTGTCATGCCGATGAGAAGTGAATTGCGACTTCAGAAACGGGTTGACCTGGAGAAGGCGATAACGAGAATGGGTGGCTTCAGCACCGTTGCTTCCAAATTGAACCTTTGTCAGCAGCGTAGGCCTCGAGGTTACTGGGACGACTTCCAAAACGTACGGAAAGAGGTATGTCCATATTTCATATATAATCCTGTGTGGAGCCGGTTCTTAACCTGTCGGTGGGTCAAAATTTTCGATATGTGATCGAGCCCTACAGTTGCAACTTTTATGCTGAGTCGGTTACCTGACCGACTCAGCAGTGTGGCGTGAGATGTGTGTAAGTGAAGGGACTGACTTAACAATGTCTCGTCTTATGTAATTATCCTGCAGATTATGCAACTACAGAGGGAATTTGGAATGGACCTGAACTACTTGCCAACTAGAAACGCGCTGAACAACGCTGGTACTTACCTTCTGTCTTTTACTCGAGAGATAGGCCAGAACACGTCAAACTTGATCCGTTGATTTGTTTCATAACGGATGGGGAAGCTCATTTTGCTCCAGGCAAAAGTTAGATCGTCTAGAGAGTACCTCCAAGTAAAGGACGAACAAGGACTTGACTTGTTCATGATCAGAACGTAGCCTAAAACTTTCTTACATGCGAAGCACGAGGCATCTCGAGTAATTTACGCGAGTGAAACTGTGTGGATGCAGGACGACCTGATGTGGCCCGAGCCTTGGAGAAGTGGGGAGGAGCGCAGGAAGTAGCGAGACTGCTTGGCTTGAAGGTCAGGCGGGTAAGATACCGATCACCACGAAAGAGCAAGTTCTTAGAGGCCTCAAATATCGAGAATGATGAGTTCATTTGTCAAAAGCCTTTCAAAATTTCGCTCCCAGAGAAGCCAAGGAAGTGGGTTGACATGAAAGAAAAAGTACGCTACATTGACAAGCCCGAGTTATAGGAGTCATTTTGAGGTCGTCCTTAGCTGTGCAGTGGAACTTCAAATTTTGACCCTTGATTCTGGGAACTCTCACTGCTTGTCCTAAAACCCAGTACAGAAGGGAGGGAACAGCGTTACTAGATCGAGGTAATATCGTGTTGTGCTTAGTAAATTTTGACCATCGTTCCAGGATTGTACAATAGTGAACATGTGCCATATTATCCCTAGGGAGTGTGCTTGCTCTTCAAGCAACTTATGTGAGTGTACAATATTCGGAAGTACTGCAAGGAAAATAGCCAATAAAAGCTGCCAATTCTGAGTCTCATGGTGCACGAGAAATATGGACCGCAGAATATTTCTACTTTTGTTTTATAAAAGAAAAAAATTCCCTCTTGATACAAATCACATCTGGGACGGCCCTGTCTCACTAAATTATCGAGGATGCTATGAGTTCTCCTAGAATCTTCGCCATGAATATTCCTGTTCAGATTGCTCTGTGGTTGCTATATTTCCTCTACTGCGGCTATCTTCCAAGTTAGTAAGTCATGTGAAAAACTGGCTGCCTCCTATTATCCAACTACCAAGTGTACGTTCTGCGTGATCCAGCTTTGCCTTTAAAAATTGGACGAATGTCTTGCATGTTACCTCGCGCATGTTTCGACACACGGGGTAGTTTCATGACAACCACAAGATGTTGGAGGACGGTCTTCTTTCTCGAGGCCGAATAGCCAAGAACCCTTCCCTTGTCATAGCATTTTGTCACCGAGCACTTTGTCATCGCAAGGACCGACGCGGCCTCTCAAATACCTGATATGGACAAAATCAGAAAAGCACAGGTTTAACCGAACTATCAGAGACTCCCTCCACCCTTCGACTCAAGGTCGCACATGTTCTACCAAAGACATTTTAAGGATCCAACAAAATGCATGACTTGAAAGGCCTCATCTCATTGATGTATCTTAAGTCTCATCATTACGTGACCGTGTGATGGTGGTACGTTACGAGAACCCGAAGGCTGAACCACTGATGTGGACAGGACGGAACTGCACTCTGAGCTCAACAGAAACTGGCAAGCGAGAAGCAGTCACTAAGCCATGACAGCAGTTGGTACTGCTAATGACTCACAAAAAAAGCCTAGTCTTCACATATTTACTAATTCAGGGCAGATTGCATGCAGACATAGGGAGAACCCTCAGTGCTCCACAACTGCGTCCACAATTTTAAAAGTTCCAGATAAGAAGGAACAATGAGTGTGTGTTCGCATCGCCTTCGAGAACTGCAGCGTAGAGACACGGAAAGGGGCGGAAACTCAGCAGAAAGAAGTTGCCGTGAACTTTGGGGGCACTTTCGTCCCACTGCTTCTGCACTCTGAGAATCTCAGTGTTGGATTTTTGTTGCAGATGTGGGAGACTGCACCCTAAACCCAAGCCTGCTGCCAGTTCGAGCATGGAGAAAGGTACCTCTTTATATACCCGAGTGATCACAGCTTTTGAACCAAAGGAGAAGCGACAATTGATGACGGTTGGTCGACTTTCCAACTGACGACAAGATCTGAGGCCTACTCAAATTCGTGCCACATGAGCCTCTTGATCCGCCTGCTGCTACTGCAGAGGAAACTAGCACTTCGTGAGAAACTTCGGCCTTGGTAAGTTGACAACCTTTCTTGTCAGTAAGGTTCAATGACTAATCTTTTCCGTGCAAGCTTTCCTGGGGGATTTCCAATCATGAACAGCTCGGCCAGAGATATTAGCAGCGGAAGTACGAGCTTGAACGAGTCGATTTGACGGTACGAGGTGACAGGAACATTCAAGTACATTGGCTAGTGTAGGATACGTCAGAGGCTTCACCTGCTCAAAAAGTTGTAAACAAAGCAGCACCACACTCTGTTTCGTCGAGAACAGATAAATTCAAGGGACTTGCGTGTATGACCCGTCCTTTACAGAAGGACTGGAACGCGTTTCGGCAGCTCGACAGTGCACATGGTGAACAGGAGCTCATGATCCACTACACTTGCAGTTTCACTTGCATGTCGAGACGCTGCCTGCAATTGTTTGGCTCCATGGCAACTACAGGCAAGACGACTTTACAACTCAGTCGACGACACAGTTCTGTTCAAGATTTTCACAAGGTGTCACTTTGTCCTAAAGCTCGACTTTCTTCTCCACTGGTTTATGACCGATGAGCTCCTGCTCTAATGTGAACGATCGGCAAGCGGGCAAGCGTGCAAGAGTGGCCCTACTTGGCCAAGATGTGCAATATGACTACGTTACAAGACATCGTCGATCCATTTCAAGTTAAATGACATGGTCACCACCTTGAGCTCTTGTGGACATTTTCCTTCCTTTTTATTGGACAGAAAATTTTTGAATCGTGCTGGACAACACACACGGGTACATGATGTATTATTTTACTTATACATGGAGATCCAAGAGGAAGGACATCGATTCCTTCTTCCAAAAGCATGCCATGTTTGGTTCCGCAGGGTGAGTTCAAGTCATCTAAACGTTTCTCTCGCGTCTCTTTGTCACCCTGACTTTAAGAAGAAGAAGCATCCTAAAACTTACATCTCATTCGCTCTATGCTGGCAACGGTCATCTACTTCCACGGGCGAAGATTCGGTCCGGGATCGTAAGTTGCCGCACTGAAGATCTATCGAGCTCCTATGATAGCCTGGATCCAGTAACGACTACTACAGACTGTATCCAGGCTTCCGTTGCAAGCTACTTGTCGTCATTTACAGCTGACACCTCCTTGTTGCATACAGGACAAACCTGCAACCATCGAGCTGCGAAGTCAGATGTCTAGCATTGGTATAATTTAGTGCGTCTGGACGGGAAATAGAACATAAGTACGTTCATAAGTGGAAACCAAGGTACGCTGTGCTGTGCTCTAGCCTCAGCGGCAATCTACTGTTCCAAGGCAAACCAAAGGACACTATCTCCCTAGATGGACAGCTGCAGATCGCATGATCGTCCATGCAGCACTCACCTTATTAATTTGAAGCCATTGTTGGATGCAATCGGAGTGGTATAGATGCTTGCAAGGGAGGGTAGACATAACGTCGTCTTCTTCATATTCAAGGCGGCAGATCACACACCTGAACGAGCCCAAATGTTTGCTACTTCGGTTAAAAAAAGAAACTGGCAAAGTGCTCACAGATCGTCATCGAAGCATTTGACATTACAGTGCTGGTTCTTGTTTGCTCGTTTCGTTTCTGAAAACCATAGACGTAATTCGTAATGCTAATTTTGATACTGAAAACGTACTAGTTCCCAGGAAGATACTTTGACCTAAGAGAGAAGGTACTCACTGCTCAGTTCCACAACTGCTGGAACGTTTGTCGGGTACATAGCTCGAGGACGGAAGTGCTGCGATCGCTTCCGCAGAGAGACCCTTGTTCTGTGTTCCTACGGCTTCTCCTAGGGCAACTAGCTCCTGCATTATTTAACAAAGTAGGCAAAGACTCAGACATCATACAATTAATACTCGTACTGAGATGTTGCATTCGAAATCATTAGACTGCTAACCTAAAGACGACCTGAAAATAGAGCCAAAAAAGACTTTCACTGGGCTGTAAAGTAGAAGACTAGTACCTCGTATGACATGTTGTCTGGATCCATATCCTGCCACATGTCCTACAAGTAGAAATTTACCGGTGGTTAGATTCAAGACAGACTACGGTCGTCATCATGCAAATGTTCAATGAACAGCAAGCAACCAGCGCACTGTGCTCGCACAAAAGGACCGTCGCTGAAGACTTCTCACCTGTGAAGTTTCGCTTTCAGTCTCGTATTCGGCACTTTCCCCTGATAAACCAAACACACCATGACGTTTGATGTCAGTTCTGTTGCTGATGTTGGTTTCTTAAGCTCATTTCGCGACAGAAAGTAGGTCTAAGTATTCTGTTGAAGTGAGCGATGCACAGGAAGTAGGTTTGTTGCACGTTGTAAGAAAAAATATTCCCCACAATTCAAAGATGACAACTTCTGCCCTGGATTACTCACAATCATGAAACCCTTGAACATGGATTCCGGCCAAAGCCAGCATCGCTGTGGTTTCACGATCTTCCTTGTCTTGAAGAGCACGAGCATAGGCTTCATCATCATCATAGAGAGTGCCGTCAACGTCCTCCCTCGTTCCTTCCTCATCCGAATTCCGCGATCCTTGCCACTGGCTACGCGACTCTCCTTCTACCTGCTGACCTCCGAAGTCATCCTCAAAGTCGTCTTCACCCTCTTCGTCGTAACTTCCACTCCCCGAGCTATCAAAATCGCTGCTCTCGCCACCCATACGAAGGAGCATGTACGCTCTTTCCTGAAGTGGAATATCGAACATGAACGTGGCATTTTAGCGAATTCCATGGCAAGCGTATCCCGAAATTTCTCCGAACGACGCTACGAAAACCAACCCAGTGCATAGAAATTCCAATCGCTTGCGTCTATCCAAAACAACGAGTAGTTCTCGTTCAATTGAAAGGCGAGATGAAAACTCAAACTGTTGTTTAACTCATACAATTATCAGATTCTCAGAATTTAGACTGACGTTTTTGGGGAGTTTACAATGTTCACGTACAAGCAGTTGCATTTGTGTTGCGTTGAATAAGCTTCGGATTGGATAACAGCCATACAATTGATGCACAAGCTGTCTTCGAAGAGAGTGATAGCAGAATGAGAAGGGGAGAAAGGTCAAACGAAGGGAAGCTATTGTGGACTAGTTGGGAAAGCCTATGGACATTCGACCATTCGAGCTAGAAAGACATCCTCTCAACTGTCTTCGAATGAGAACAGCCGATGAGTTGAAACTCTTCGGCAGACGCTCGACAATCCTCGTAACCAAAAAACATCAGCGAAGCCCACCTGTTCTTGAAGAGCTCGGGCGAGAGCCAAGTCGGCATCCACTTGACTTAAACTCGTGAAGGGTGTTTTTCTCGAGTTCGTCGAAGCCGGACCTGCGACGGCCTCGGTCGTGGTGGTCTCCCCCACCGCTGACGATTCTTCGAGCGGGGCCGTGGCGGAATTCTCCCTCTCGTTGGGTTGTGTATTCTCAGCGTTGTCGGTCGCACATGCTTCCACAGCCTTCTTCTTGTCTAGCAACACCTCCCTGGCGGATTCTTTTTCGGCAGCCACCAATTTCTTCTCACTCCTGTCCGCAATCTGACAAAGGTCGTCGGCCCGGACCTTCTCCATGATAGCTTCTTGCAAGGTAGCCGCTTCACAGAGAGACGAAGCTCTGATTTGGGCACTTTTCGACCCTGCTGCTGCTGCTGCTACAACCTCCTTGGACGACGACTTCGAAGCACTGCCCTTGAAGCTAAAGCACCCCTGCGCGGCCGAACGAACGAGCAGACACACAAGAAGCAACCTGAGTGAGATTCGATGGCTGGCACGCAATCTCCAAAGGGCAAACCACGATACTAAGACGCTAGGAATATTTTAAATTGACGCCACCGGCGTCTTCCATCAATAAGCCCTTCACGAATCTAACTCTCTCCCTCTCCATATCCCTATCACACACAAGCTCGCGCTCGCTCTGCTGTCCAGTCCGCCTATCAAACCCAGAGGGCCGCGTCTGACGCGAAAGAGAATCCACTAACGCACATGATAGACAAGCGAAGCTCCTAGAAAGATGCAAAGATAAGTTGCTGAGCCTGGGAACAAGCGACATTGCATAATTTGGATGATAAGCAGAGAAAGGCAGGAGTTTGCAGCAGCACCTACTGGACACGACACACTGAACGATATGATACGATAGAGGTCTACCCATCTAGCGCTATTAAGTGGCAGGCTTTACCGCGAGTGATCGAAAGATAGACATGAAGCCACGCTCACACTAAAACAGAACAAGCAAGCCTCTGAGCCTTGGGCAAGAACTGATTTGATTTGATTTGAGTTCACGGATTTGATGGAAGATTGGCCTCGCGAAAACTCGAAACTTGAGATAGAGGAAGAGGAGGAGGAAGACGGGGGCGCTTCCTCGCTCGCTCGCTCACTCTCTCTCGGTCTCACCAAAGATCGGCACACATTCTACACTACTACCACACGCAAAATCAGGTACCGGAACAGAAGAGCCAAACAGAGCGCAGACTGGGTGGCAGGAGACATGATAGTTTCAGAAGAGAATTCAAATCAGCAGCGGCAGCGCGGCGGGAGATGTATAAAAGGCAGCAGCTCATGGTTAAGACCTTGGGATCGCTCATCAGTCGCCCAGCTATCGCCCAAATTCCCTCTTAAACGATCTCAAATGCTGAACTCCCCTCTCCCTCCCCGTCAATCTTTCCTTCCTTTCTGTTTGTCTGTCTTTCTCCCGCTACTACTTCTCTAGAACTCGATCTCTCGTCTCTCGTCTCGTCCGTTCTCGCCGTCTCGTCCCTGTGCCACCTTCTGCCTTCCAAGAACTCCCGCCTTTTGCGCGTTTCGAGACGAAATTGCACGAGGAGCACCAGCAGCCCGCCCGCCGACCGCCCAGTCTCTTTGCAATCGACAGATTCCAGTTTCGGTTCGCCCAGCCCAGCCCTGATAGTCTGCCTTGCCAGCTGCGACTGCTGCTGCTACTGCTGTCCCTCTCGCTCTCGCTTTCGCTCCCTAACGCAGCGGGCGAGTCGCCTTCGATCACATAGACACTGAAACTGGCTCGATTGACAGACTTCAGACAGTGAATGTGATTCAGACTGGCCAAGGTTCAGAGAGAGAGAGAGAGAGGAAGGTTGAGGTGACGAGAGGTCAAAAAGCGAAGAACGACTGAATGGACGACTGAACGAACTAACGAGCGAGCGAGGGAAAGTGCGTCCCGCGCGAGCCCTTACATCAAATCACAATCGCCGGCACGAGAGAGCGGCGGCGAGATCAAATCGCAAGTCCCGTTCGAGGTGGATGATGATGATGATGATGAAGAAGAAGAAGAAAAAGGCCCCTGGAGAATGATCGGAATCAGAATCGGTGGGTGGGTGGGTCGGAGTCCGGTCGGTCGGTCACACCTCGCTCCCTCAATAATCACTCTCCCTCACTCGATGCTGCTGCTGCTGCTGCTGCGGGAACTCGAGAGCGCCCACCACGATGGCATGGCACAGCCCTTCCCTCCCTCCTCACCGCTTCGCACACTAGCCGTTACAGTCCGGGCCACAGCCCCCCGTTCCGTTGCGGCGGTTTGGTTTGGTTTGGTTCTCTCCTCTCCTTCTTCTTCTTCTTCCCCCACAAGCAGCACAGCACCGTTAGCACGGTCAATGGATTTAGCCCCGCGCCCGCTCCGGTGCCTAGAAAGGGAAGCAAGCGGTAGACGCGCCAGACGACAAACCGCGCTGCGAATGAGACAGGTCAGCGTCGGCAGGTCTAGTCTAGTCTAGTCTAGTCCAGTCTAGTGTTGGTGCCTGCGTCTACAGTAATTTCAACGGGGGAGTGCGAGCGTGAAACCCGGGGACAACCCGGAGGGGGGGGGGGGTTTCCTTGACCCAAATGGCCCCGCCACTTTCCGGCCTTGCTATTCCGGGATCTCGCCGAATTCGAACGGCTAGCCCCCCGCTGTCGTCGACTATTTCCTCATTTATCGGTTTTCTTGACCTCGCTTCGGTTGCCTCTCAAATAACGTTTCTGTCTGGTGAGCGTGGCCGCTTTCCGGTCCATTTTGGGGGATGGTGTGTTGTACAAGAGGAGGGCGACAACGCCGGAACCGGAGGTGGCGGGAGTACTTGAGTGTACTTGCCGACTGGCTCGGCAATGATAGTTACCACTCGGATGCAGCGGGTGTCAGTCGCGGCTCACGTGGTTACTCCGTGGAGCGTGGTTTGCCTGCCTCGGGTAACCTGGGGCCGCAGACAGGAGTTGTGATGACTGATGTGGAGCCGCAATTATTATGCTCTCGCAAGATTGGATTGGCATGGCATGGTATGGCATGGCATCACTGCCCGCCTGCCCGTATGCCTGCCCGCCCGCCCGACCAACATGGCAAGACTGCCATTTTCCCTCATCATGTTTCCACGTCTGCGTCTGCGTGCAACTAAATTCTATCCGCTGAATCGGAGCCCGCGTCTCTCTCTCGCTTGCTTCTTATGGACCGCAGTGCAACTCGTTACTTTAGCCAACGATCCGGCGCGACCGAATTTATCAACGGTATAATATTTTCACGTCCCGATGTTTGTTCCAAAAAGTCCTCTCAAACAATTAAAATATGATCTAATTCTTTAACATTAGCCAGAAATTAAAGATCTAATTACTGCAAGATTTAAATTGCCTCCTGGATCGTTTTCCTTGAAAGGGAAATCTAAGCATTTGTTAGATGGTGTGAGACAAATGATGGGCGTCCTAATTAATTTTTGGTGATGCAGATGGCCGGAACTGTCTTTCGTCGAGTCGTCGAGCAGTGCCGACGAGGAATTAATTTGGAGCCAATTTATTTCTGAAGCTTAAAAATCTGATCGGTGTACAACACAAGGACTAGAGTGTTGTCGGTGGAAATATTGGTGTCGACCGATATTTCTATATATTTCAGTTTTTCTTAATATATATGACGACGTTGTGGGTGACAAAAACTGGAACTCATGACACACTTCTGAGAAGTGTACGATGTTCATGACGAAATTTATAGCTGAACCGCCTTCTCTACTGCACGTCGCATACACGAGACTAAATTAAGAGCGTGTTTTATTTATAAACGGAACTCACTCCACCGTGTCCAAGATATGTAGCGTTCAGTCGCCCAATCCTATATTTACCAATTTACCAAATGCACACATTTGCACTTGTGACAAAACTATTTATTCAACACAAAGTCGACCTTGTATAATGACAATTAATTACCTTGTCAAATAAAAATCATTATTCACTCAGAGAAAACACTACGGAGAATTAAACCTAATTCTTTATTTAAAAATTGGAGACAAAATCCAGCAGAATCAAAAATTCTTATCAACGAGTTTATAATTTAAATAGTATATATGCTCAAAAGCATAACACTGATCAAATTCAATAAAAAGGAAGTAGATGAAGAACACATTTCAGACAAAACTCTTACCATATTCTAAAGAGAATATTGTCCCGCATTACAGAGATTTAAAATTACAAAATGTGAACATTCCATTGGCCAAAAATGTCTGATTCTAGTCACTATTTCGCCCTTTTGCTTGTTGGATCGTTTTTGGTGGTGTATATGGCTCCCTTCCAAATGTCCAGAAATGGATTCGGCTCGATTTATCCGAATTTCGGGACGCCTTTGATGACCTCGCATCTCGGAGGCGCGCACCTTTCTGCAACGGGCTCACGATCGTACCGCACAGTGTCTGGCGCTGGCGCGGGCGCGCGGTCGTAATGGGAGGCGGCAGGTGGAGAGACGTTTGTCGGCCTCGTCGACCTCCTCCCTCCGCTCGGGCATTGAATCCGGCCAGCGATCGAGAAGACGAGGGCGAGGGCGAGGGGCGGAGAGGCGGAGGAGGAGCTTCTGCCGATGGTTTCATGGCGATTCTTGAAGTTTCGGTAAGCGTGTGGATCGGGCCAGCCAAGAAAGAAGTAACGACGCCGCACCATCTGCACGATCACATTGATGGGCGACTCGGCCCATGTGACCTCGTTCTCTCTTCTTTCTTCTCTCTCGCAGGTGGTGTCCCAATTTTAGGACTCGATTTCATCGAATGCCTTGCCTCTCCCTCTCGAGTGCTCGTCACCTACCCGCGACCCGACGACCCGCTTCTTCTTCATGTCATCAATTTGCTTGTTGCCCTAAGTTTAGCCGGGGTCTCGAATCCCATCGATGCACCTGATTATCTCTCTCTTGCCAGGCCTAGTGGAGTATGGTTGGGACGGCATTGGTGAAGTACGGAGTAAAATAACCAAAAGAATGGAAGACCCCATCATCAAGTCGTAAGTGATCGGCATGCGTGGTGTGTGAACGTAGGAATGGTGGCGTGGAGGTCTGAAGAAGGAAGAGTTTTTTTTTTTTTTCGCAAATCTTGTGAGCCGCATTTAGGATATTGGTGACGAGGAATAATACTTCGGATCTTGCGTTCTCTACACGAGGTCGCAAGCTATGGCTGCTTTACTCATTGGGAATGTGTTCACAAGAATCGCGTGAAATTATCTCCGCGTTCTATAGTAAGAGCACTTGCTTCGGTATTATCTTGAGCCGATCCCTTTTGTTGTCATGAAGAACGAGACAATTTTCCAAAGGTGTGGCACACTGAGCATGCCCACGAGGGATGTGCATTCAACAAAAATATGACCCCCTGATATGATGTCTGTTACAATAGCAGTGTTCGAGCAAAATTAAAAAAAAATTGGATTAACTAGGAGCTCAGGTGCCAAGACCTTACCAGATTTCAAAATCTCAACAAGCATGAAAGTAGTGAAGTCTAGATATTAGACCCTTCTTTCGTAGATTGCTATATTTGCCGAAACATTATCGTCAGCTCGATATATTTTTCAGAACCTCTTTCTCCTTTTATCATCTAATACGGAATGGAATATTCTCTCTGACTTCTTCTATATCAAGATGATATCTAAGGGAGACGCGGTAGAGGAATCCAAATATTGGAGGAAATTGCAGTGCTACTATCAGGGATAGTAAGTGCTACGCTACCACATATTCTAGATAGAAGCCAATGAGGAATTCATCAGGGGATGCTCATCTCTTCAGGATTGCTCAAGATACGGCTAATAGTCTGCAGAAGCCAACCAATAAAATGTAATAACAGATTGAAAATGCCTTCGACTTGATAGATCACCAAGTTCTACGGGATAATATGCAATCGCTTAAAATTAGTCCAGCTTTCATCAAGCTTGTCAAGGTGGACAGCGAAAATTCAAAACTGCTAGTACAGGCTGGGCACACCGAAAATTCAAGCTTGAAAGAGGAGTGCGGCAAGTGTGCCCCCTCCTCCCACCTCTCTTTAAAATAGCAACCCGCAATGATGAAGCTAATGGATGCAGAGGAAGTGGGGACAGATCAAATTACTTAATTTGTCCAACCTTATGCACCAATTTTTTGCGAAAGAATATATAGACAAACTCTACACAAACTTCCTATACGAGTAACTTTCTATCTGATGAAAGAAAGTGCCGATGGTAGCTTGGGATTCTTTACATCAAAGGTGGATGCAACCTTATCCCTGTTCAGATACTGAGCACCTCGATGTATTTAGAACAAGTTGTAAGAATTACTGCAGACGACCATGAAGACTAAATGGGAGTCGAGGGCAGCGATCTGCGAACTTGCTGACAAGGTGAACCGGGTATTAAAGAGCAACTGAACGTGATGTTGACTTCCTACTACTTAGGATGATAGTACAGATGAAATTTCACCCCCAATTTTGGAAGGGGTGAAATTTGACGCTATGGCAGCAATCAAAAAGGTTCATAACTTCTTCTAACAAAACCCCAAAACACCACTTCCAGCAAGTTGGTGACCCTTGAAAGGTATTACATCTAGTCTTGGCAAACACAATATGCTTTAACCATTCTCTAAAGAAGCTCCCATCCGTTTCTTCTGCCCACATATTGAATTCATGTAAAAAACAAACTCGCACAAACTAATAAGTTAAGTGGATCTGGACATGCCTTGTAAAAATAGGGTTCATCGAAGTTTTTGCTACAACTTGAAAACGTGCTCAAGCATCTTGGTTCATGGATTTTGGTTCCATCATTGCTCTCTGACTCACATTAAATTGAACATATCACTCTATTTTTTTACGTTAAATCGAATGTGAGAGTAGTATTCCTTTTACCTATTTCCTAGTCCATTCAAAGTATAAAAGTTGATTACTCGATATGTTACTAGAGATAAAGTGTGGCTTCTGTCACTTGATGATGGATCGAGGGGATGCGCAAGTACGCCATGCAGCTGGTTTGAGGCAATATCTACAATTGGTTCAAAATGGATAAGTCCATATTCTAAATTTCAGGTTTGCGGCTATTGTATTGATTTATCTTTTGGACACATCTTTTTGATTCTTCGTAGTGGCTAGTGGAGTCGCATTGTCCAAAGTCTCCAGAGTAAAAAGGTATTCTTCTTGTTCCTCAAACCTTATAGTCTATACTCACCAATTGTTTAAAAAAAAAAAAAAAAAAAAACTTATAGTCTTTTGAAACTATAGACACCAACTTAGGCACGTTGGTGGGAGAGCATTATGTGAGAATAGATTTCCCTTCATGCATTTGTGTGACAGATATATTAAAAGAATAGATGGTGCAAGTCATAAGATAGCACTCCAGTCTATTCTTGGAATCTTTATTACTTAATCTATTTCTTCTTCAAATGCTCTGGAAGAGTGTGTTGACGTTTTGTATATATTTAACGTGAAGTACATGTTTCCCATGGGGTTCTAGAACCCTTCCTACCCGCTTGGACGACTTGATGGGATCCATCTTTTTAACTTTACTACTCGGTTTTTGGTCTCAGTAGAAAATGGCGACGGGAGGAGGCTCGTAAGGGTATACAATCTCATTAAAACTAAAAGCTCTGCGGGAACTCCGAGAATGGGCTTTGTTGGAGTGGCAGAGATTAGCCTTCATCTGAGCAGCAGCTCCAGAAGAACGGCTACGATGGTTTAATTAGATTATTAGTCCATCAAAAAACGGCATTCAGAATGGTTTGGTTGGAGAATCAAAGGACGACTAGATGGGGTTTCAAATCCTTTTTTGCTTTATTGCTCGGTACCATGTGTTCGAGTGGGAGAAGTAACGGAACGAAGTGCATCAGTGACCTTTTAGGCTCCCAACAGTGCCGAATCATCCAAGAGGCAACCACGGAAGCTGACGAGTACTTCAATTAGAAAATTGCGTAGGGAGAAATTATCTAAGAGATGGAGAAAAAGGCTCACATTCATGTGGAAATCGCACGTCAAACCCAACATCAAGTTCTGGGAATGAACATTTATCAACTACAAATTTGCATTTTCAGGTATGTAGGGTTGAGAGATATAGTTAACCTGCTCCGTGCCGTTGGTGTTTGAAGGTTATCCAGGGTTAGCCTCTGCATTAAAAGGTCTTGGGCGGGTCTTTCTTAAGAAAATACAAAGTAAGATCAAAGTATTATATTTTCTTGTCATCTACATGTTGAGAATTTTATTTGGCTTGTTATATGCAACGGACTTCTGGTGCGCTTTGAAGCCGGGGGAGGGAAAATTTGCCTTTCGTTTTCTCCTTTGAGAAGTTTCGGATCAGTGTGATCTTTATACAATCATTGGTCCACATTATGGCATTCTAGATCCAGCCGAAGGTACTCAAGGCCTAAATGTCAAGGATCCATTCTAGTCTGAAATCATGACCTTCAGGCCTTAAGTACCTCCAGAATGAAATGAGTTGAGATATATTCTCCTCGTGGCCGTCGTTGATCCCACACTTCTGAAAGTGAACACCTCGATTTCTTCAGGGTGCTGGCAGAGTATTTCTCTTCGAGACGCAAATCTCGAGAAAACCGTTCAAGTAACGCGTGAAGGATAACTGCAATTCAATTACTAATTGGCGATATTAGTCTGCTGACATCATGTTCGTTTCGAATTTTCTGACGAGGTTTACCTTCAGCGTGGGAGACGTGCCGGGCCACGGGAGATGCGGGTGCTGTTAAACACGTTGAAGCGAAGGTACGTTTACTGTAAGGACACAAGCATGACCCTGACAGCAAAATGATAAGAGTAAATTTCCACTGGTCCTTTACTGCAGACATCGAGCCAAACGGTACTTCCGAGGTCAGGTCTAAACAGTACAGTACCTCAAGAATGGCTCCGAGCCTTCTACATGGTTGAAGAATAAACACCCAGTCGATAGATCGTTTCAACATGCTATCTTGGGTCTTAGAATATCGTCGGTACCGCTGTACAGAGAAGAACTGTCAGACATTAAACCTTCAACAGATGAAGGAGAACGTTGATGTGTTCACGTCTTGCCACTGCCACAACGTGGGCCGGGCAATTGTCTTCATCGTGTGTGCGCTCCACATCTTTTTAACTCGTGGACAGATGATAAATCTCCAATCTATAATCAAGGAGAATTGGCTGAGTAGACATATTTCAACTAAATAGACGCCAATATCCAACTACGCCCCTTGCTGAATGTTGTGCATGCTTATAACGCGCATGGACTCCACGGGAAATTAGTGGGTAAATTGCCACACTATGTGTGCTTGGAGTGAAGGCCAATTCGGAGTGATAAGGGTCCCAGTTGCTGCCCAGCATACAATGCGGAAGTTGAAGGGAAGTTTGAAGGGAAGTTGGTAGTTGTGAAGGGACGGACACTTTCGGGTCGTGTAGATGGCAAACGAGCGGAGCTGATGAGCGGAGCTCCCATGCGACTGATAGGCCGGCCTCAAGTGCCCAAGGGTTCAAGTGACCCTTCAGGAGTTAAAGTATGCGGTGTATCATTGCTGGGCAAAAACCGCGAGTTCGGACATCGAACTACTTCTACGCATCCTGTGCAGATAGAGGAAGAACAGTTGAGACGTCTTATGGGTTCCACTGATTTGTTACCTTCCAAAGGGCAATGTTGATGTCAAAGATGGGAGGTGGGCAAAAACCGACGGCTCTGTTGCAGCGTGGAATATGGCTTTCCGTGCAGCGGCGGCCACAACTCATGCAACCATGCCTAGTCATCCATGGCCGGCTTTCCGAAATGTAATATTTGATACAAGCTTTTCATCTTTTTGAGATCCACTTGGCAAGGCCTGGCCTTGCTTTGTCCGCTTTTCCAGGCATGTACACTGGCACACAAGAACGTTCATTTGGTAAGCCACAAGCGGAAGACGTGCTGTAGGCCTTCTGTATGTCCTCACACAAGGTCTCGTACATATGGAATCACCACGGGAGCTCCACACGTGGGCGACCCTACGATGGAGCTCTGTTTCGAGCAATATACATCCCTCTGGAAATGTATTTCATGAAATTCGGGAACAGACTCCAAGAACCATACAACTTGCTGGGCAGCGCCCACAATAAATAATGTGCGTGTGGGGTATATTCCTCTTGCAGACGAGAGGGTTTCAGAGATATACCGAGCGAACAAGATTATATTTTACTCATGGCCTTGTCAGGGTGTCATCTAAAGTTTCTACAAGAGTGCTCACACTTTAGAGATGAAATTATCCTCATACATACTTTTTGTCAGACTTTACTTTCTCACTGAATCTCGCCTACCATTGTTTCCTGAAGAAGCAGCCACTTTGTCAGGTGCGAGGATAGTATATGCCTTGAAGAGTTGCTTATTGCCTATAGACAGCTAATGCTATGTGTATACATCTCGTTCCCTCGGGCTAAAGCACACAGAATCAGGCGAATAGAACCGGCAAAATGCACGTCATATGTTGGTGTGTTCGCTCGGTCGGCTAGGCAGGATAGAAAAGGAGTAGAGACATCTAGTTGTCTGGCAAATCCATGAAAAACCGATACTTGAAACATGAATAGTACAGCTCACCTACACAAGCCCAACCCACAGTACAGAAACGACCATCAATGCCGTTTGAAAAGATTGCCGCAGAAAACGATTCTCATATTACTCATGTGTGATCGTCGAAAAATTCTGTCGTCTGTATAAACAAACGACTGTTACGTGTAACTACATGTAAGCACATCTAATCCTAGTTTTTCTATCAATTCGTATGTAAACACTGATTTCCTCAGTCACCAGCTTTGAATGACTGAGCTTGTACTGATACAACTTATGCCAAAGATGGACAGACGTGGGAAACGCTCACTCCCGAATCTGTCAAAATCGTCCTAGCGTGTGTGCTCCAAGAAAGGTCCAGATGGTGAAATAACGATGAAGCAGTAAAACATGTCTAGAACATGTTTCAATCAAATCTCTCCTCATACGGCTACATCTTCAGGATTTTTGTCCCAGTCTTTCATCTTTGCCGTTCCCAACATGAAGTCATCTTTCAATGCTGACCAGCCAGCCTCTTCCTCTTCTGCACTCTGTAGAAAAGGAAAGATAATTACGGTGGAACGTCAAACAGTGTCAGAAGAGATTTATCGAAGAATGTGGAGAAAAATAAAACAAACTGATACTCTAGAATCTTCAGAGTGAAGGATGCTTCTGCAGATTCTTAGCCACTGTAACCAAGAGTTGGAACTAACAAGCTGGATGTATAAAACTCCAACATAAGCTGCAAGACATTCTACGCTACTTTGATATACAAAGAAGAAGACGTGCAGGTCCAATGTTTGACATTCTTACTTTCTCCGGACCCCCAACAGGTCTTGTCTCGTCCTTGGGACCACCCCTTAATTGCGTCATAAATGCTTGCTTGCTCTGTTTCCACGTTGCTGTTAAGGGTCCAACAAAAGTATGTAAATGACAAAAGCACTTGATACAGGATACTCTTCTTGAACTTCCAGAAAAAGTGGAGACGAGTGAGAAGAGTTGATGTCAATCTTCAACAGGTGACAAATCACCTTTAGCAGATTTGCTCGATGATATATCCGCGTCTGCTTGCACCTTTTGAGCTTTGCTTACCTACAAACCATTCAGAACCAAAACAATGAGCAAATATCACAATGGCAGCTTTCACACGTCCAACATAGACCTAGATGGCTACTACAGAGAGAAAACCCAACGAAGCTGCGTATTATTACAAAATCAACTAAGGGGTTTATTCAGCAACGACATTATACTTGGCGTTTTTTATTGAAGGCAATGCGGTTTAAGTTAGCTTATCGAAAGCTGAAATCTAGAATAAGAATCTTACAGCATTAAAGAGACGTACAACTGTGGTCCCATTGAGTGTTGTGTCGAAGATCGCCCGAGAGTGAACACAAACATCACAATCGATTAGCAACAATACAAGCCCTGAGAAGAAAATCACAGCAGGAGAATTCGTAACACATCAAGCTAAATATTTAGCAGGTGTACAGAAACCTGACACTACCACTAATGGTGAGGAGTTTTTGAGGCAAACCTCCAGTCGTAGCCAGTTTTATAAGAGCTTTTTCTTTAGGATCCATGTAAGTTTGAGGTATACTGTGTCCCTTCTCCCGCTCCTGTTGGAGAACATGAATTTTGGTCAAAATTTTAGCACCGGGGTAGATACAGAGGCCAAAGTAATACACAAAATCCCGTTTCAGTAGGCTAAATCGAAAGCCAATTTTAACAAGATCAGGGCTAATCTAAGGGTAGAGATCAACAAGAATCCCTGATAGCACCAATACGATTCGACAGTGGATCAGCCACCTGACAGTGCAGAAAGAAGGTTTACAAAACCTTACCTCACGTTTTCTCTTCTTGACATCGGTCTTCTTCTTTCTCTCGTTCTCTTCTTCTTCGAGCTTCTTCACCAGGAGTTGCTTGCGCTCAGCTAGCACTGGACCCTGTGATCACAACACGTTTACCTCAAACATTTCAAAACCTCTAAAGATATTCCTTTCGATGTAGGCAGATGCATCTCAATATAAACAATCTCCTCGCTTGTTACCTAATATTCGCCTAATTGCTAACTAATTATAACGAGTTCCAACTCGATAACTGCTGACTTGCAACAGCTAAAGCAAGTCAAGATTTAATTTCCACGTAATTTCTACAACAAACTACTGGGTCACCAAGTGAGTGTTATAAAAGCGTCACCACAATACCGTTTTCAGATTATTCGAACCCCAGATTCCGTCTCAAGGTTAGAAGAAGGTGTAGATAAGACAGAACAACCTGAGAATCAAAAGCACTGACAAAGCCTGTGCTGCGACCTTTCCTAGTAAATTTGAGGTCCTTGTAGATCATCTACGGAGTAATAAATTGAGGAAAACACAAAACGCAGGAAAACACAAAACGTACAGGTAGAACATGTTACAAACTCATCCAGCCAATGTGGCTGATAAATTGCGAGTCGCTGTGAGGAACGACTCATAATGTTTCATCAGCCTCTACGATGAATATGCAAGCATTGATAGGATAAAAGTCGGGCAGCCAATATTTGCACATTACAAAGCGGCAGGGGAATCACAGAAGTTTCGAATTTTTGAAAGAAGTCACGAATTTGCAGAGATTTGCACAGCGTTCTCAAGACATTGAAGGACGAGGGTGGAAACTAACCAAAGAATGAGTGAGCTCTGATTTCGGAACCTTCTTGTTCATAATACTACTAAAAGCCCGGCCAAAGGCTCCTCCTATGCCACCTTTTTGCTCCACTTTTTCTTCACCCATCTCCGCCCCATTCGCATCTTCCTGGCCCTCAGCTTCTCCATCGCTGATGTCACTGCCACTAACGCCTTCGAACTCATCGTCCTGAATAAGGTCATCATCAAAGTCACTTCCACTAAGCCCGTCGTCGAAATCAGCCTGACCATCGTTCTCCTCTTCGTCCTCGCCTTCACTATCGCTTCCCTCATCATCCTCGTCATCGTCGTCATCATCGTCCTCGTCGTCCTCATCCTCATCATCCTCGTCGTCGCCCGACTCCGAATCCTCCTCCCCATCGTCATCCTCGTCCTCGTCCCCGCTGACTTCTACCACATCATCGTCGTCTTCCTCTTCCTCCGATTCCAAATCATCCTCGGGCTTCCTCTTCCCCATTGCTGCAATATCTGCCGAATTCTGCAAAATCCGTGTCCGCCGTGCTCGCTCCCTGTCCTCGATGCGCAGACCGAATTGTCTACTAAACCCTAGTGGGGGTTTAGGCTCTGGACGTGTAGTGCGTCTGTCTCGACCGACCAGCCTTCGAGCGCAGACGATCTCCGACTCCTCTCTGTTGCAGGCCCCGACTCCCAACGGTCCCAAACGAATGCGTCCCCGTCGCAGCTGTGCACAATAGGATTCACCTTTCCCCAATACACCCTTCCTGAATCAATTGTACCATTTCTCGATTTGTGCTTGTCATTTTTTGGCCATGCTAATCTTCTCCTATGGTTCCAATTTATGATATGTTAATATGATATATTTAAGTTTTTTATGATGATATAGCATTATTATATATCTTTCCAATACCAAAATTCTACAGATATAATATCTTTTGTGCTTAAAAAACTTGTAACAAGTCATAATGTTTAATGTTGTTAGATTAACTTTACAAATTGAAGATTTTTTCAAGGTTGATTCTTAACCTAGTTCTAAAATATGATGAACACTGTCCTACACAAAAATCTATGCAGTTTGGGAATACTTTCACGAAATTATATAATTGTGCAACCACTAAGCATATCTTATGCTCTTTGAAAACACAAAGTCATGCTGCAATCAAATTTGCTCTATTTGAATGCGTAGACTAACTTTCAAGTAGAAAACACAAACTCTCGTTTGTAATTTTGAAATACTTGAAACTTAGCGAAAGCTGTATTACATTCCGCGATCTTTTGCTGATCAAGGCATTCAAAGGTACACATTCCCAGAAAACAAAATTCAAACACAGCATTATAAGTGACCTACACGATGAATCTCACACATCTTTGTCAGATTCATCTAAAATTAGAAACCATATTGTTAACAAATGGATGTAAGAGACATATCACATCTTCAAACACTGTAAATAGTACAGTGAGAAAATTCTGTTTCACTTATGACTACATCTTCTTTTCGCGTAATGTAATGCAAGTAAATCATATGTGAAGATCGTGTTTTCATAATTCCGTTCTTTGCACCAACGGTATCTATGGTTTACCCATTGTGATAACAAGATACATACATTGTGTAAACAGTGAACTTCACAACTGCTAAAATTGAATTGCGATGAAGAATCGAAACGAAAGTTACGACTGTAGGGTTTGATATAGTACAAGATTTGGCTTTAGTGAATAAGAACTTCAAAATGTTCTCAAAGGAAAACTTGTATTCATATTTCGGCATCTTTGTGTGAAGTGTACTTGTAACTTGTGTGATAGAAGTTGGTAACGCTAAGCATGCATGTCATATGTTGCAAGAGCACTTTCCCAACATATTGACTGTTGCGAAAAACAATTCTGATGTGCGAGTCAGTCAAGAGAACTCGTTGTACTACACACGATAGAAAATATCAAACCTCACGTTAAAGAATGGACTTAAACTGTAATAATCTCAATCGTAATAATATATAATGTCGAAAATAATGAGCGTTTCCCATATTTCGTTCCACTAACGATTAAATAAGAAATATTTTCAAGAATCGGTGAGAGAATTTGCTTGGACAGGTCTTGGGGGCTAATAATATTCCGCTACATCTTCCTCATACATCTGAAGCACAATCTTCTCAATTCATCAAAGAGAATATCCAGATTCATTTACAGCTTCGAAAATGTAGGAAAACGCTTTCTTCCTGACCTTCCCTAGGATGGCGATAATTATTTACACATCACACTGCGACATACAAAGACACTAGGCTTGTACCGATACTATATGGACGGTTGTTAGGAATCTGGATGAAACACGAAACCATTACTGTACAGACATGTCTTGGTACATCCAGGTGCCACCGAAGGGAAAATACCTATCTCAACTTTATCAATTTCCATTCATCCCTTCATAAAAAAAATCACATTCCGAGGAGACAACAAAAACCTCTTCCTATACAAAAGAATATAGCCACCACAGCAGAGAATACTTTGCTTTTGATCTACACCAGGCACTGAATCCAAGTCCAGCCTTGTCTTCTAAATGACCTTCAAACGAGTACCTTCGGCAGATCGGAACAGGTAGCTCGCAAAATTGTATTTGTTACATTCCTGACTAAACTATCTCCGATGAACACCTTACAACCTTGCTGCGCCGCTGCCAATACGTATCTGTCAACCCTAGCTAACAGTTTCTTCGAGACCTGATATGACATTTCTTGGCATCTAGGTACTAGCATTAGGTCGATTTCCGGCAAGGATGAGAGATATCTCCAAACCACGACTGAAAGCTTGATTGAATACAAGCCTCGTCTGGAAAGTAGACACGAAGGGGAACCAAGAGAGGATGGCAATGGGAGTGAAGATGACCGCGCCCATCATCGCGTCATATAATCTGAAACCAGAACGGACGGCGTTCCAAGCACCCAGCGGCTCCAAGATCGGCCTCAAAGCTTGACAAATCTGTAAGAAACAACCGCGACGTATTTTACAGTCAAAGAACCCTCGGCGGCAAATAGTGAACTCCTAATCACATAACGAGTCCACAAGTTCTATTTACTAATGTAAAATCAACCTCAACGCAAGCCATCAACAGCAAAGAATTCTCATGGCAGAATTGCTACAGTTCTCAGGCCTATACAGGAAGTTTTCCGTAATTCGTATCAAAGGTCTACACTTCGAAATATACTCACAGAAAGGACACCCCAGCCGGTGGGAATAAAGACCAGCAACATTGCAAAGCAGTCACCGACACTCAACGATGTGAAGGCGATCGTCACGGCGATAGAGGCAATTAAAGCCAGAAAGAGGCCCCCTTGGAAAAGCCTCAAGAAAAGTTGGAACTTGACAGACGATTTGTTTGTAAAAGTAAAGATCTGCCCCAACAAACAAGGTCAAAATATTAAAACTCAAGCGTTTTGAAAAATCAGCACTTCCGATGACGTTTAAAATCTCTTCTCTCACTCTACAGAGCCTAGGGAGCGCGCACATTGGAAGAAACTCAAGTTCTGAGTACCGTAAAGCGTGGCATCACCATTCTGGGGTAGAAAAAGTTGGTATCTTAGGCTATTATGAAGCACGTAATTTGGAGAACATGTACTAAATGTATTCAACATCAGCGGAAGATGCTTGTACGCACCTGGAATAAGACGATCATAATGAAGAACGCAAGCCAGGAGTACCCATATATCTGCACGCAAGACATCATCCATCATGATCAGGAGGCAAAACACAGGCGTCAAGCAAAAACAACAGGGAAAGCGCATGGATATTATACGACTTTTTCCCATAATGGAGCACCGGTGTATACTCGCTCCCTCGTCGTATAGGACAAAGGATGGCAAACACAGTCAATAAAAACTAGCTCAGGGTACAACGACTCCACAATTCGTCAGCCAAACATCAAGTCCCAAACTCGTACTATTTCTTCTCAAAAACTGCGATGACAGAAGTGCTAGAAATCATACATACTGAAGACCATGCGAGCTTGAAAACATCAACCTCGTTGATAAAGATGGCCTACCGATAAGCTGGTAGATGTTCCCGAAACTTGGAGTGAGTACACGACTCCATATTGGAAGAAAAAGAAACGCAGACTTAACACTATCTCCCAGAATCGTCCACGAAGAGTACGAATGTGTTCCTGCAATCATTCAAGGAGAGTAAAGAGAGGGATCATGTTAGGACCCAGATAACAAGACTCTCTCGCAAATCGACTGGAGAAATGACATACGTTAAACAGGACAGATGTTTCGGCGTCTAACCTGCTCGGATTCCCACCAGGATTCCCAACTTTCATTGTCCTTGACTCCAATGCCTCCTTTGTAGAATAGCCAATTGGTCCAATCGTCGAAATCCTCAACAGTCCTGAATGAAACCAATATACAAGATCACGTCAGGATTAATGATCCAAGTCCAGATTTCTACTGTACAAAATATGAATTACGTCACTGAAACATACATGTACTAACACAATAGATGAACTAGTGGATGCTCTTACTTTTGCCACTCGAACCCGGCAGGATTGAATATGTATGGAGCGAAGAGCCATGACAGCGCCATGAACCAACTGCTGAAAGAAAGCAGAATGTAGGAGACTCCTCTATTGTCTTCCCCATACGACAGGTACGTGATGAGCAGCATAGAAATCTCTAATCTGCAGTCAATCTATTATAAGTATACGATATGCAAGGCAGATGAACTCAAAAGCTTAAAGTAGATATATATATATATATATCATCTGCTAATACTCGTCTCTGCCTGTCATATAGAAGTGCGAAGACTACAGCAAAGTCACAATATACATCACAAGCAGTTTAAGTAAAAACAACTTACGCTTTATTGAAGTGACTCCGAGAGTACAGACGATAATTATCTGCAAATGAGATATGTTGAACCACGAACCCTCGTCCAGTAGCCCGATACTGTGAAATGGGTAGAGGAAAAGAGAAATGTTTATGAGCTTGTTCATGCACAACAAGACTTCCAGCTATACCAATCTACGGCACAGACATCAAGTCCTGATTACAAAGCATTTTTCGGAGGAGGCTAACAGGCTGCTTGCCTTGGCACCTCCATGAAGTACTGTTCTGCCAAAGAAGTGCGTTTTCGTCCCAAGCGAAAAGGTGAAGAACACGGAACAGAGTTGGAGCTGCATAGTTAAAAAGCTGATGACGGCCTGTCATAAGATACAAAGCTAGTGTTAGGACAGTTCTTTTCCGCAAAACCGTCGACTGTTGATCACTTTGTTACTCATACTGGAAGCAAATGGATATATCTGCGTAACAGTAGAGCTTACCTTCAAAACTCCTTGCTCTAGGATAAAATTCATTATCATTGGGATAGCTGTGAAGACACCAATTTGCAGCAAGAACTGGGTGTTGAGGGCTGACTCCAGAGCTTTATTGTTGTTGATATCAGCAAAATCTTGTAATTGCCTGTCCATTCCGGAAAGAGCCTGCTCAAACAAAAGAACAAGATGAGGAAAGAATATTGTTTCTCAAGTGAACCGAATTCAGTCGTCTAGCGCTTTTGAAAACAGAATGAAAAGGCTGATGTATTTCAAAAATAAGAGGTCCGCTTATGCTTTACAACAAAACAGAAATTATACAACTGGTTCTGGGACTCACCAGGTATACTTTCCCGTACAGAAACGCGTACACGACCAAGGTTGTCATCTGGAAAAAAATCTTTTCGTCAAATTCCATTCACTTGCAAGACTCAATCAGCCACGAAATCTTCTTCAAGTTCGCGTAGGAAGATAACTGTGCTGAAGGCCATCTCAATAAGGTGGCCTTTAGTAAATATTCACGAACTTTGGGGCCAGTGATTCAAGAGACAGAACGCTAACAACTTTTTGGATGTGCATAGTAAAAATGATGTGTACATATAACGTGTTACAATGATCTACAATGGTTGTGAGGGCATCTACGGCACTGCGGAGATAAATCTAAGATCAAACCTCCAATCTACCTAAGAAATACCTTACAACGACAGAGTTATAAACTTACCAGCGTGGTGATGTAGTAACCCACTGAGGTGTAGAAGAAGGAGAACATACGAAAGAAGTCAAAGAGCTGACCCAGCCGGAACACATCTCTGCTGAGAATTTGCTCACCGTTTCCACTGGAAACTTTTGCTTCGAACATTGCAATTTGATTAAGACCGACATCACGTCCTTTGCCAACCTGAAAAGGAGAAATTACGAAGAAATCCATCCGCAATGTGAGAATGATAGGGCTAAGTTAAAATAAAAATGTCAAAAAAAACTGGTCAATACTGAAAGGCATCATCCCAACTATGAACATGCAGTCATCAGAGCATGGTCAAAGTGCGAACACACACTTTCACATAAAAATCCAGACCACAAACCTGAATGTACTCATGATGGGTAATATTTCCTTGACGGAGGGTGGAGTTGAAACCTGTTTTGAGAAAACAATGGGAATCAGTTCTCTTCCAGTTCAGCTTTGTGCACTTTCAAAGTCACCTTCCTGTCAATAGGTCAGTATGAAATCACCTGATTTCAGTCACTTCTGTTCATACACATCTTTGAACCGACAAAGGAGGAGACTCATGAAGCCATAATATACAAGGATGTGAAATAAACACGGGCATTCTTAGTCACATCCAAAAAGCATTAACATCAAATGCCTCTCTATAGGATACGAGATTTACTAAGTTGATTACCTGCGTAGATGTCCTCACTGATATTGATCGTTCTGGAAGCTTTGCTAATACCCCCACGAGTGATGTGGAAGATTCTGTCGAATACATCTGGGTGACCGTAATGCATTCGCACCCTGAACACAACCATTTGACGAAGAGTAAGCACACAAAAAGTCTCCAACAAATCCTGGAATCTTTAAATCTATGAAGAAAACAGCAAGTTTTACAGCTGTTGAAGTCGACTTCATGCAGGCCGTAATGTTGTTATGCAAAAGTACATGTAAGTGCACTTACTTCAGAGGGCGTGCCAAGACTCGCTGACCAAGGGTCACAAAACTCGTCTCTTGTTGTGACATAAACCAGGCGAGCGAGGACACACTGCACAGACAGCGAAGTGAATGCTTAGCTGAGGTGATCTTAGATAACAACGAATTTGCAAAAAATAATGACAGCAAGTTCCGAAAACATAGACTCACAATAATCAATACCTTCCAGTGAAAACATGTTCACGTATTCCAAGTATGGTGGGCCTTCGTAGACTGTCAGTGGAGTTGAACTCCTCCAACAAATTTCGCATCTTAAATGCCTCTTCAAAGTAGTTGTCCTGTAGCAATAATATCAGATCAAAATCGGTGAGAATGATAGTGTTCGTAAAAGAGTCCAGCAGTAAGACACTCGTATGATAAGTAGGTTTCAGCTGATACATCTATAATCCACAACAAAAGTAAGGATCTCTGCTTGAAATGACAGAGGGATAATTAGTAGCAGTCATTCAAACAGCCGATGAGCCCAACTTTCGGGCAATCTCGGTTCCTACATATGTTCCAGATCAAAGAAAGGGGTAGCTCTCAGAAAATGAGAACGAAAAATGTCCAAGGGTATGATACCTGATTCATATCGATGGTTTGACAAGCATCACCGCGAGTAAAAACAATGGCCTGGTTCTGGTTTTCAGGCTTTCCTTCTCCAAGTTTGAATTGTCCAGGTAATTTGATTGAGTATATTTCCTGAATTCAAGAATTTCATTTTCTTAAACCAGGTTTCAATACGTTCACCCAAGATTGACTATTAAAAACTGCTCATCAAGCAATGACTAGCAAATACTACGAGGTCGCTGGGCGTAGTATTGTCGGTAGCAATATCTTCCAGTATCAGACTGATTTTCGTTACACGGTACTCAACATACGAGTGCCAAATTGTATCAAAGCCTGTGACGAACCCAGCAATCCTCTCAAATCAGATAAATTATCAGACTTGACTACCCCACAAAGGGGCCAGGACGTAATTGGAGCTGTCCGTTATAGAATTTCTGAAGAAAAATACGTCACCAACAAAAACCACTTTTGTGATCCAAGTGACCATTCTATCACATGAGTGCTTCAAGTGCAAATACGACCTCCCAACGAATTTCTCGAGAGCAATTTCTAAAATTAAGTGCATGATAGAGGACGCAGTCGATATCAATACGGTACCTGGTCCTTTCCGTCGGCATCCGCTTTGATGAGTTTCGAGTAGTATTCTTTGATAGACTTATACTCCTTAGTTTCCTTGTCTTCTTGCATCTTATCCACTATATCCACATAGGCAATTCTCAAGGAATCATACCTGAATGTCATGGACAAAGTCATCAAAACGTCATGGGAAGATCTTTTTCTCCTGACCTTTTCTCAGAGCTTGTACAAAACCTTTTATATTTTTACTATCTAACTCGTGTGTTCGAGCTCAAGACAGCTACAGCGACAAATATGGATTTATTGGGGACGTCAGATATCAAAAGCAGTGGAGTAAGCGACTTAGGTACGCGGAGTCGACTCCGAAGTAAGACGGAAGCTAACATGCGCTTACTTGTTCATCAGGTAGAGGATATCTTTAGCTTGATCTTCACGCCTTTCCTTCTGCTGCCCATATATTTGGCAAGTCACAACATATGTGAACTTCGTCTCAGCAATGGCACTTGCCATCCTGTATCCTGGACTCTCTTCGAGTGTAGTTCCCAGAACACCTCCTTCCTCGACATCTGCGAGGGTTGCAGCCATTAGAAAACTGAAACAAAAAGGAGAAAGTAGAAGGGGGCTCACGGATACGTTTATATACATATCCATACACTTTATATACTTATATCCATATACTTTATATACTTATCCATATCCATACACAACATACGTTTATACACTTTTAACTACACAACTCAATTCATCCAAAATTCATGATGGCGATGACCTCAACCCACCTGAGGTTCCTTCCAGAAGGCTCTGCAAGATTAGCGCTTTCTTGTAGTACATCATTCCTCGGACTGAAAACAGGCCACCAAAGCGGTCAATAAAGAAAATCGCAATCCTGTCAAACGTAGAAAATGAACACACTCGAACATGGAAACCTGACCAATGAAAGGCACTTCTCCACGAAAAGATTATCAACTCTACCTGTCCTTGCCAGAGTTTGCCCTCTATATGAAGCCCACAATCGCAGTTCTTGACAGTCGTTCTTTTTATCTTCCATTTGTCTCTCCATGAGTGCATTGGTCAGACCCTGTCTTTCCAAAAAGTTTTTCCACTCATCTGCACATGACATTGGGCACAAATATGTGAACAAATGTGTTTGCCAGAGCATCAACTGTAAGGAGTCGGGTCATAACTGAACGTAATGTGAACAAACCTGCAGATAGTGTCAAAAAAAAGATCAATGGATCAAAATTACAGTTTCACGATACAAGATATACCGTGCAATCATTAGTTCACCTGGAAAAATTTTCTGTAGGTAAAAGAGGATACTAATTCCATCCTCATTCTCCTCCGTCAATTTATCCTTACTATAAAGGACGTCTTCTGCGTAGTATGGTGTAAAAACACTGTTTATAGAAATTCAGATCAGACAATGACGAAAACATGTAAGTAAGCTTCGATTGCGAAATACGAAAAAAATTTCAGAACAAAAAAGACCCATAGAAAGATTAAGTTTAAAAAAGATCCATGGAAAGAATTCAAAGAAAACTTCTGTGACGATCTTACCTGAAAGATAGCATCCTTTGAACTGAAGGCGGTTTGGGCATATCCATGAAGAGTGAATTGGCAAAAAACTCCATCCTACGTCTAGCCTCCAAATTTCGAGGAATGTTAGCTGCAGATTCCTTGATAGTCAACAGGAGATGCAACCTCTTCACATTCTCTTTCTGCAAAAATAAGAAAACAAATTAGAAATCGTAGATTCCAAAGCTCGAAATTCAGAAGCACCAGTTGCACTATTTGGGACGAAACCGAGAAGACTGGTGGTTCGTACAGTTGGAGTACCCTCAAGTTCGTAGACTTGAGGGTAAAAATCCGCAAATCACACCTATGGGAAAGCAAAACAATAAATTGTTCGAACTCCAGGGAGAGGAAAGAGAGAAGTCATCGAAAATGGAAAATTCAAAGTGATAAGTGCAGAATATTCATACCTCCCGATCTGTAGTGGGCCATGTGAGGTTTATAAAAAGTTTATTCTCGATTCTGGCGTCCTTCAAAGCTCTAAACTCCTCTATCCTCTCCCTGAAATTATAGAAGCATGGAACGCTTAGCAATAATCAGCAATATTATCGACACTAAGAACTTCCAGATCGCTTCCCAGGAGAATTCCCCACTCAATTGTACATTGCGCATTTAGACAAATTTCATACAAAGTAGAGGAAAGTCTTCGCACCTGAGTTCGGTCGTGAAAAAGTCATTCATGACAGATTCATAAAGATTTTGCATCGCCAATACAACTTGTGACCTGAGCTTATCTGTCTCTTCACGTTCCTTTCATATTGACACGTTGATAGCCAGAAACACATTAAACATTGATCAAGACGATCATAGAGAGAGATCGGCTGAGTTAAATAAGAACGTGACAGAACAATGAAGCTGACAGAGCATATTCAAAATCAATCTCCCGCATCCCGGGGTTAAACAAAGAGGAACAACAGACACGACAGACAACATGTGAAAAAAGACAGCGTGGATTCATCTACTCCCAAAAAAACCTTACCAGCAGTTGTGTAAGATCCGTAACTCTGGCCAGCACACTATCAACCTTCTTGAGATAAAAGTGGCCAACAAGAGCGCTCTCCTGTATTCCCGCGCCAACATCGTTGAATACACCCTTAACCCTTCAAGCACAAAGCATATTGAAATCGATAAACAGCAGCATCTTTAGTGCACCATGTAGACAACTTTGAGACAATGTGACATAACAAAGCTGACAGATTTCGAATCAGCCATAAATCTAAAATACTCAGCCCACATTTCCAAATAACTGTTTGACTCCGGAAAGATCAACAGAACGAAATCTCGATAAAAATTTCAAGGAACGAACGAAGCGATCTATTTGAAACCCCGTTTTTGATACTTTTAAGGAGTCTCTCAAGTATGAATGAAAGGACTAAAGGCGTCTCCTCTAGTGAAAACGGAGGAAATTTCCTCTATAGAGCAGCACATACCATATCTGAGATACATCTTCTCTCACGAGACTTTTCAAAACCTCTTCAAAAAGCTTGTAAGCTTCCTCGATGGCATAGGCCATGTACTCATCTTTGCATATTTTCTCCCACAATTGCGTTTGGTTCAAGAGCTTAGCGTCTTGCGCCATTTCCACAGCCAAGTACACCTAGAAAATGAACTTCCCACAATGAGATTGTCTTCTGAGTTCTGAACTGATCCATTGCTTCCCAACAGAAACTGAAGAGTACTCATGTTCACAAACCACAGAAGGGACTGACCTCATAATATCACTTTCGAAGAAAGTGTTGTGATTTTGAAACGCGATCGAATACAAGGGGTTAACAAACTATAAAACCAAACGCTCTTATGAACTATTTCCCAACATACTTCAAAACTCAGTTGCGATTGATTTTGCAGGAGACATAACGCACCTTGTTCGCTAGTAAGAAAAGCGGCCACTGCACCAATGTGCCAGACCCTTGGTTTTTTGGCATTACAAGAAGTTCCCTTTCTCTGCGAAAGAGTTTGTGTTGACATGTACATTAGACAAGCTTGAATACTGAGCTGGTTGAAACTCCTGAAAATCCAGACAACGTTTACTCAAGAAGGAACTCCGATATCAAATACGGACTGTACGATCTAAACTAAGATTGAAACCTACTTTTTGCCGATATAATCCTCCTCCCGCAAACAGTTGATAATCTCATTCCACATTGGGGCAAACTTGACAGCCTGGACTTTTTGCATGCTCCAATTAACCTGCATGGTCAAGATGCATACGAAGTAAGCTCCATAGCTTCATTTTTAATGAAAAGAAATAAACAAATACAAGAGGAGATTATGACAAGCGCTCAAGGATGATCGAGGTACTATGACCATAACAGTCCCCAAAAAACTGGCGATTTAGCTTGGGCTGATAAAGCAAACTGATAAAAGCTATAAGCAGAAATCACCACATCCTTAAATATTCATGAGGGAAAAAAACTGAAACAATGGCAATAATGAGGGAGGTGCTGTTGTTGCTGCAAGAACAATGGAATGCATGCTACAGAATCTGGCCAACTATGGCTCTGATAATATTCAGGTCCACACACGAGACTGAAAGAAGGGACTGAAAGGATATGGAAAATTCAAACCTGAGCGGGTGAGGATCCAGGGTTCTTCCTGCAACAGACAAAAATGTGTCAGCTGGCGAATACGTCTTGTTGCTATCTATCTTGACTTTCAAACGAGCGACAAAGGAAATCGTACTTTGGTACAAAAGTTTCACATATCAATTCCAACAGAGTACCCAAAGAAACACTGAGAGATTGGTGAAATTGTTCTTTAGCGGCTGGAAACTTTGCTAAAGCACAACGAAATATAAATGAGATACATCTAGCGAAGCGAGAAAACTTGTAAACTTACTCTCCTCGACCGAGCCGAGATGAAACCAAGTTGGTTGCAAAAGCCTCGGGAAAAGATGAAAATCGCTTACGTAACATGCTGAGTGTTCGAATCTGTTATCAAAAAGACGATTAAAGTAGCAAAGAGTACGGAAAAAATTGTTGAAAGAGGAGATAGCAAACTTAAGACTCAAGGCTCCTACATGGAGGCAGGACATGGTTGAGCGAGTGGAAAGCGTGAACAACGGTATTTGCCAAATCTGTGGAATCAACTTTACCTCACCAAGCCGAGCCCTGGCTCCGTCAAGACCGCCGACAATTGCAGATACCACGGTGTACCATACTTGTGTATCGAGGTAGTAAATCTAATAGCACATCAGGACAGACATTGCTGTATCCATCAGATACATCTGTAGCCAAACATGCAGCGATTACAACTCATGCAGACATTCCAACTCCAGTTACGAGGTTCTATATGCAACATCAAACTCTTTATTCTTAACCCTACTTGTACATACCAGAATAACGGGAGCCCAAAGAGCTCCAATCGTGAGAGCGTTATGGTTATCTGCCAACAAAAATTTAAACCAAGTTAGACATAAACATAAACAAGAGCCGTTTGAAAGCATCTAACTCAAAGCTGTGCAATAATATCAACACTCCTTTCAAAACTGGACTTACTTCGAGAGACAAAGTCGTGCCACTTGTATTCAAAACGTTGAAGAACAATAGTCTTCGTGGGTGAAACTAAAGCTCTGACCTGCAGTCACAATACCCTCAATAATCTTTACACATAGCAATGACCAAAGAAAAACAGGGTAGACATATCCCATCCTAGACAAGAGGGCCCTACTGCTTTTGCTGAAGATAACAAGTTTGAGGAAGACCATCTGCTCGGCACGTTTAAATCAAGAAAACCCGGTTCTTCAAATGAATCGGGACTTACTATATCTACGATGAAACTAACCTGAAAGTAGTAGCTGAATGAGAACTTGCAAGCTAATACAAATATCCAAAAGGCTGAGTACCTGTGGCAAACATAAGACGATTGTGTTAAATTTAACATGACTGCAAGAACTCTAGAAACCAAGACGAGCCTGCTATGTAGCAAAACACTTGACATTACAAGATTCACCAATACCTTATCACTCCTAGGCCATCGACCGGTCTTAACAGATTTAAACTCAAAGATAACTATGAAATGTCTGCCTGAGTCAGTTTCAAGGTTGAATAACTTCATTACAGTAGATTCTGAAAAGGCAAGCGTGGACTACTTGATCGGAACGAACATGTCTCAGAAACAATCAACCGTCAATTAATTAATCAAAAGAGTATGGCATTAAACACTCTCACTAAAGCGAGAGACTACATACCCGGCATAGTCTCGAGTCCTCTCATATAAGCCACGCCCCACGAAGTATCGATCCTGAGGACACATTTCCATAATTTGACAGATGAGGCACGTGCATGAGTCGTCTAAATGAGCACAATAATTTCATTGGAAAAATAGACAGGAAGATGTCATGAGCATAACTGGTGCCGAAAGTGCACTAAAGAATGGAAAGAAAACCAATGGAGATTACGAGATAAGGCTTAGAAGTTCAACTAGAGATCACAATATTCTCTTTCTTAAACTTGAATGACGGTGAACAATTAGGATAACTTCGACTCAAAAGTAGAAACATCAGTAGTATTTTTCGGCTCGACTCCAACCATTGATTACCTGATGAACCCACATGATGAATCTGATGATAGCCCAATCTCCACACTTATCCGCTTGTCGGCGGAAAAAGGGTATCCGCATGAGGAGAGTAACAACAACCTGCGCTCCTGTGTACGATCCTAGAACAATAAGGTACAAGTGATACCAAGTTGATCCAGTTCCGGTATTCTCTTCCTGGATCATTTTCCTGCAACAAAAGAATATGGAGAAGCTTCAATGGAATCCATTTTCGAACACCTGGGTGCCAATAAGCGCACAAGAAATCCTGCAATCAAGACAAGTTTCGGTATTTGACGTGGAGACAAACGGTATCAATACTTTGATGTGGAGGAGAATAGTAAAGTCCAGGAAATCCCAGGAACCTTACACGAAAAGCCAGGTGATTGAGCCAGACAACCCCCCAAACCACGCCAATCGAGCAAAAATTCGTGAAAACGTCCATCCTTGAGTAGATGCATAAGCACCGTAGATGAAGAAAATATCGAGGAGAGCTGCAAAATTCAAAGCAAATGTATAATTAGATGTTTATTCGTAAACTAACCAATTGAACCGATGTCACCAAGTTTTGGCGCATTATCCCAATTTTCATCTTGCCAATACGGAAGACTACGATGGAAAGCAAGAGATGATAAACCGTCCATTCGTTTTGTATTCTTTCATCTACATCTCAAACATCTCAAGTCACAAAAGGATGTGGAATCTTTCACTGACACATACAGTGCACAACGTTTTCCAGCATAGGAAGAGCGAAACGGAAAGCTTCGACTTCCAACATGCACTTCGTGTCGCGACATACAACTCAGAAGGTTGGCAATGTTTTGCACTCTGATATTACTTTCTTTGACGTTGTGTGTAAAATAACTTCTAAAACTGCGAGCCTGTAAGATATACAGATAATTCAAAGATGGATAGATTTGAAACAAATTAGAGCTTCAAGAAGGGGTAAGAAAACTACAATTCAGCCAAGAAAATAAAAACAGAAATCGACAGGACTGTACAATGTGTGTGAAAGGGTAAAATCGAGATGAGGAAGTAGAGGAAAAACTGGGAACAGCATCAATCATCTTTTGATGAGAATGAAATACACTGAAATATAATGAGTAAACTAGGTCTCTTTGTATTATTTCTCAAGGTCAAAGTTGAAGCCAAGAAAACCCCGAAAAGGAACGCAAGCTGAAAAAACTGAGGCAAAGAAGGTAAGACAGTCCAGGCCTTCGAGATAAGAGCGAGGGAAATAGTGCTTACAAGGACCACCGACAATTGTCGGACACTCATGACGAATACGAATACATTTCATGACTCCAAAATAACGTGAAGCGCATCGTAAAGTTGCACACCTAGATGTTGCCACAATACTACAACGGCACACACGCGGATAATGTCCGAAGGGATATGGCACACCTCCCGGTTTACCCATAACTATAAGGGCTGCCAGGCATGTAGGCACTACAAATCTAAGTGTTTCTTAAAAAATATAGAGGAAAGGTGTTGACCACCTAAACGTATAGAGTATCTTACATTGTATCAGCTTCATAATGACGAATGTCGGACCAACACTCAGCATCTTCTTGAAAGTGTTAGGGGTAAACTTCTCATCGCAAAAAGCGAATATCATCATACCCTGGAGCAAATAACACATGAGCAGCGTTAAGTAATTCATCATTTAGCGGCACTAAGAGATGTTTCGCGACAAAGTATTCAAAATCTTCCGATCGTTCTTATGCACCAGAGTGAAGTTAGCATTCTGCTGATAAAGCAGTATGATTCGAACCCCGAATAAAACGTCCGCCACAAGCAAGTTTAATAGAATTCAACTTAAGCACTAAGTCATAAACTTCTTGGCTATATGACTGCGAGGAAATTGCACACTGGTGCTAGACACCTACTATGTCAGCCTTCTTGGCAAACTAACCTGAAGCATGACAGTGAAGAAAATCCAAAGGCGGTGAAAACTGTGGTAGACATGGAAACCCGTCCTATGTTCAACAAAGGTCATCTTCCCAACTTTTTTCTCTTTCTTCCGCCCTGGCACCGCATTAACACCTCCTTTCTGCATAAAAACGTTTGATATTAGAATTCAAGATAAGCGTTACCGAGCACGTAATAAAGCATATCCAATGACTCGGTTCGAAACGGCAGACTTTCTAGACAGATGTACACAATCTTCAGAGACGTCCTCACCGTCCGCTTAGAGCAAACAAGTTTCTAGAAACAATTAGCCAGATGACTCATTTGCGGGAATCTCTAAAAAAACAGGTTTTCTGGTCCTTACCAATTTAGGAAACCCACAATCTACAGTACAGTGGACTTGCTGTCATTATGAAGGTATGCATGTAGCATGTTCCTTGAAGGATAACAAGGATATTGTTCCGCATAAAGTGGCCCAAAACAACTTCCAGGAATCTTATATCGACGAACATCATGTGGTGTCTTATTTGGTATACGCACTTCCGACAGACGATACATCATTATATACAACTTCGATAAATTAGAGGTTATCTCGACAAATGATCGATGCACTCACCATCTTCTTGGTATTAGGTTTCATCATGAATCCAGCGTCTGGACGCCAGGGCCAAGAAAGACTCTCGAGACACCGAGGGGACCTGATTTTGCAAACATCAGAGTCAACACACATCTGTGAACATCAGTGGCTGTTTCCCTGGTCAAAAACGACCTACAAGTGTCACCAGTATTTCTATGACACTAAATCGTCAAAAATTTTGAATCAGCTGTAGTAACCTCTGTTCGTCATACACTGTGTAAAAAGTAGAGATTACACAGCAGAAAGACCTCTTCCATGCACGAAACAAGTAGCACGGATGATGCATTCTCCACTTTACCAAAAGTATTCGTTGAAGTCATCGTAATTTCTCCAAGCTGCATGAGATGCTTTTCCGTCTTGAGTGTTCGCTGCCTCCTGAAAGGCATGCTCCAAGCTGTGAGTTCTACGTAATATAAGATATTCGAATACCCGAAAAATAATGACCAACGACATCTTCCAAGCTGAACCGAAAGCACCACGTCTTTCAAGCTGAACAATGTAGCAGTCACATGGAATCAAGAGTTCCAATTACCACACGGCAAACTGTTAGACCCTGAAGTATGAACTCCTTGAACACTTCTTTAATGTTGTAAAATGGTCTCGAGGGAAACCTAAATCCTAAAACTCCTCTTTCAGTCCCACATGTTATCTTAACATATACACGAAGTGAGAAAAAATCTTTAGCTCAAATATTTGTCTCCCCGATCTACGAGATTAGCGAAAGAAGTTCACGAAGAGTTTGGAGCCGGAGAGCACAACACTAATCCATATCTTGAGTAGAAGAAGATATCAATAGCTTGATAAAGATTCATGCATGTATGGTCCCGGAAAGCGTACATCCTTCATGCACCATTCTCGTGCACTTGTCGGGGGACGAATACCGGACAAATTGATCAGAGAGAGGATAAATGTCATACAGCAACACCATCGCCCATCATGGTGAAGAAGTAGCTGGGTTAAAAGCCAGTACCTCTCATCACGGCTTTTTGTAACACTAGAGAATAGGGATGGTTATAAAAAGCAAACCTGAATCGACCATCTAGACCAGCTCAGACCCTATATTTCTACCAAAGATGAAAACCGTATAACTCCAGGACATTAGTCATTATCAGAAGGAAATCTTGTGCTCAGAACATACGGCAGAGCAAAGCAGTTGGCAAATCTCAGGTTTTTTCCACATCTACAAAGTTAAATTGTTCAGCTGATGAATTGAACTGCACGAGGAAACCACCATAACAATCACGGTACATTGTGCATCATGATAAAAGCTGAAGGCAGAGCAGAAAAGGTAGTCCTTACCGCGGCAATAACTGAATATAGAGGAGTAACAATTTTATCTAGAAATGGGCAGTCTGATCCCTCGACATAATTCATAGAACGTTGTGCGTTGGCGTTGCCTAGAAGACCGTACAGTTCTTTCACCATCTGTAAATTGGCAAAAACAACGTCAAAAATCATCTAAAACGGTTCCTCAAATGTGGCCCGTCACACTCACAAAAAATGACAACTATGCTCAGATGCGAGCTTGGAAAAAAAATACGACAGCCGACCAAAATGGTTTAACATAGTAACACAAGTAAGTAATAAGTGCATAAATCTCCGCAACTATATGAGGGCAAACTCTCATTCGATTACACGAGAGCTTACATGGTGAAATATGTAACAAAGGCATTCAGGAAGAAAGCGTAAATTGGCAGCTTCTCCCCAAATTAGCAGATACATAGCCGTCAATAGCACCATCTTATGAGAGTCACCCGCAGCGCTGGAGAAAGGAGGTAGCAAACTTGTGGGTTATGGGTGAATCTCTGAGGGAAAAAATGTGTACCTAAAGATTCGGAAATATCAAAAGTACTGCAAGGGAGTCGGATATCAGAAACACAGTGTTCAGCTTCAAAGCGTTGGCAAACTTATACGAAATAAAGCCACAGCTTTACGTTTTTCATTTCAAATATACATCAAATGACACAGTTCGTTTAAAATTAATTGAATCAGTGGAACTTGTTAAGATGCCATGTTTTGTGATGGCCGCACTTTTGTGAAGAGCATAAACCTACAGTGGCCCGCATACCTCTCGGTCACTGCCGTTATCCTTAGATACTGGCACCACTTGTTGTAGTTGTCCAAAAGACGATCATAACAACGCTTGACCGCATCCCCGTCAACCTGAACAGCACAACGAAGCAAACAAAACGGGATACTGAGAAGACCAGCCGTAGAATATTTAAGATAGAATATTTCTCCGGTTGGAAGCAAACAGGGCGACAAGTTTGTCACCCACGGACTGTTGGCTGCAATACAGTCTGACCTTGAAATCGAAGTGATGATGTCCAAATAAATTAGTTTGAAATTGCGGAGGCAATTTCGGTGAGGAAAACAAAAACATACCTCGCTGCCACGAGAAGGTGGACCAAAGGCAGACTGCGAGTTAGAAAGTAGAAGGATAAGATGTTCCCGTTGATTGTTCACATTACCAATCTGTTGGGATAAAAAACATATTAGAAACTTGAGAAACTGAGTGGCATAATTAGTTCGTTTCTACGCCAAATACACCAACCTCTTGAATACGTCTGGTTTGTCTTGCTATGAATATCGGATGTTTCCAAAATGCAGCTCAGAACCCAGATAAGACAACTTTCGGTTCAACAGTACCTGAAATCCGAAGATGTACTCCAGTAGATCAAATATATCTACGTCCCTCTGCAGTCCTGCCTTGTAAGCACTTTCGGGAAGCCTTGGCAGTTCATCATAATAACTCAAAGTCAAAGCAGCAGCTCTAACCTGAGGAGACGCCAAGGTTAGAGAGAGTGGAACTTCCAGAGTTGAATCCAAGGTCAGAGTCCTAAACTGGAACAACTCGACCAGCTAGAGAAGGGCGACTCGACTGTGATCACTGTGGCAGCGACTACCACGCACGCTTTTAAATGGACATGAACGAAGTTGGAAGCAAGTTCAAGGCACTAAATGGGTCCACACCTCACAGAGGCCAAAATATATGGGATGGGAAGCGACAAGCAGCAGTTACGAGATGCAGACTACCTCGCGCCAAAGCAAGCAATAATAACCGCAAACGTTTCTTATCTATGCAATGGCAAGCGACACTAATTCTCCTTCCGCACAATGTTTGAAGCATGCAATCAAACCTTGAATAAAACAAGAAAGATACTTCTTACCTCATCTATCAAGAGGATTGTATCTGATACACCTGGTGTCTCTAATGGCAATATGTTGAAAGGTTTGAATTCCGCAGTCTTCGCGGCAGCTGACTCCATTGTTGCTTTCGTCTGCGATATCAACCAAACCTCAGATTCTGTAATCCGGAAAACACTCTAAGGCGATTCGTTAGCCCCGTGTGGCTGATCCCATTCATTCCGCTAGTTTGAAAATCAACTAATCTACAAGCCTTCCGGTGATAAGATGGGTGATAGACCTCTTTGGATATAAGCTTGTCTTTTTCTTCCTCGGTCGAGTCCCTCGTAAGAGAATTCAGCACATCATTCAGAACCTTGGAAATCTGATAAACCTTTTTCATGGTCTGGGCTCGGCGCTGGGCCCTACATTGAGACAACAGGGATGACATCACCAAGAGAAAAATATGAAATGCGGTAACTGTCTGTCTTGATTTGCACTTTGTCCACTCCAGCCGTAATTTGCTACACAGGGTACTGTGTGCGAAGTACGTTGCTAAAAAGTGAAGAACACTTGCAAACTAGAGTTCGGTACCATTATTGTTTTGGGGATATTCGGAAAATTATTAACAAAAGCTCACATAGTGTAGTGCGTTCTCTGTAAAGTTTGAACACAATACAGCTACATAAGCATTCTTGAAGATGGCAATATGCAGACCAAAAGCATCATCAAAATAATATGCCCTCGTTCATCTCATTGAAACAGCTTCTAAATTGAAACAAGCCGTACACCATGTCCCGGGGCAGATGCCAGTAAGCTGAAGTAGTTCAAACTACGCTCATATGTCCCTTATTTTCATACAGAACAATAAAGAAGATACAGTTATATCCCGGACAAAGATATGTAACGTACTCGTTGGGATCCTCGGATAGTCTCCTCCCTCTTTGTTGCTGCAATTTCTCCAACTCATCGATCATATTCCGTGACCTGTAATCTTCATAGAACCTTTGAATTTGAAGGATATCGTGACTCCTGTCGATCCTTTCTCCTTCTTTTTTGGATTGCTTTTGCTGTTCATCGGGGGCAGAAAGTAAGTACAGCGAGATGGTCGTGGAAATAAACCAAGTGTTGGCTTTACAGCTCCCAAGTCTCAAGCCAAAACACACTACATTCCTGGTCTAACAACTGACGGCCGCGGCTGGTCATGTGCAATGTATATTCCTCGCAAAAAAATTAATCATTTTCTTGACACAATGCGTCAGGTAATCACGCTACGTCCTTAACAAAGTCCTGATCGAGCACTGATCCACATTTTTATCCATAAAAATGCTTCCAGTATACTTGATTTCAGTTAGGCTCGCTTTCTGTAAGCGGCTTGGACATAAAATGCCTAAACTACAACTTGATGATATCTAACACTAAATTTTAGCAACAAAATTTCACAGATATTTCGGCCTGTCAATTGGAATGCTTACCCGAATAACTGACATCAATCCGGTTTTAAATTGCAGGACACCTCTTCCCTCACTCTGAGGATCCAATTTCTGCGCCATCGTGTAAGCATACTCGCACACTGCGACAACAGAGAGCTTAGTTCCACATGTAGAACTACGAGAAAGGATCAGAAACATGACTTCAGAGCTGTATCAATGCAGGTAGTGATCGAAAAGCTATAACTACAAGGACAGACAGGCTGGGAAACTGTGAGATAAGGGAAGGCTGATCCAGTCACTACCATTTCGTGAGGTAGACACTATTAGTTACATAAAATTGAGTGTACAGGACTTTGAAGAAGGTTCAATTAGTTCAAGTTTTTCTTCTCATTAAAACTCAGCCGCGAATTGGCAATCGATATAGTTGAGAACTACTCCCAAATGAAGTTTAAAACTATGAGATTTGAGTTCTTCCCTTCAATGTGAATCACAAGGACGTGCAAACCATGGTTGAACTGTATAAGTACATTCTAGTTCTCGACGAAGACGATTCACCTCAGTTTTCCAGGATGAATTCCTGTAGACGTACTGAGATGAACTAAGATCTACCATCATAATTTCGAATGACGTTGACTTCGATACTTCAAAGCCGCTGTCATTGCGATAACAGACGAAATGGTACATTACGGACCGAAGGAGTAAGGTGTTAGTCTATGTTCATCACTTTAGGTAGAGGGTGTCAATCGCCCCGCCAAAGAGAATAATTGTCCACAGTGACAGAGTGCCGCCACAGACACCGTAAGTGCCGTAGAGCAGCCGTCGACGCTACACGGCTGATTAATTTCGGCTATCAGGCACCGTCAGACGCCGTGGTTCCGCAGTGGTTAGAAATACGTCGGAAACAAGACCGACGGCCGGAAAGATTCGAGTTCAAAAATTTACAACTCCTCGCATATGAGTACGGTTTCCAACAAGATCGACTGCGTGCCTTTCCGGATAGACTTTTGGCGACTGCGCCTAAAGAATGACTTTATAGTGCCCTGCTAGGACGTGTTGAACCTCTGTGCATGTCTTGATCAGATCAAACACATTGAGAGTTCTAAGATTCTCAATTGTAGAGCAGACACATTTTCTTGTAAGGAATTGGATGCCCACGAAGGGGATACAACCTGGAAGAGGTCAAGTGCTAATTGAGAGACTGAAGGACTTCAGTGTAGAAGCTTGCCTTCTTCATCTTGTAATCAAGACTTGGTTACGCTGAAAAGCACCATCCACTAACTATTCAAAACCCGTCTCTAAGTCAACATTGCGTACACAAACTCAACGAAGAACATTGGTTCTCCTCGTACAATCACGAGGTGTTGAGCATGGCCTTGTCCATGAGGGAGACAAATATAATCCAGAGACCACTGGGTTTCGACTAAATCTTTGAGACTGTGGCAAGAATTCTGTCATCCACGGTAAGAGCTAGAAAGGAGCCATAAGAATCTCATCACTCAGCGGTGTGAACTATCTCCTCTTCAATTCACTGTAAGTAGGGATGCAGAATATTTCCGACGGCGAATGTAACGAGCTAGCCAAGAACTGAGTGGATCCGGGAAGGACATCTGCAATATGTTCGCAAAATCGTAACGCTCATGTGTACACATCAACGAATGGAACGAAGAGAACGTACGTATACGGGCGACGTGGGGATTATCCCGTTGAATTTCCTCCGCAACCTGAAGAATGAGATTGATGTTACTGGACTCCTGTCCCAAGGAAGTTGGGACCACACCCCCCAAGTCATCTCCACCTGCGACACTAAACTTCAATTCCTCCGACCTCAGCGCCTTCTGAATCAGCCGCTCCCAGTTGTTCCACGCGCGCTCGGGATTCCTGCCAGGGACTCCTTCCCTCCGCCTCATTTTGCCCGCTCCTTCACTGCATATTCTATCTGGCAGCACCCGTTTCCGCAGGCAGAATAACTACGATCACTCAGCTGGTTGCAAGCTCCGCAAGCAGCAGAACACTGCGCAAAACCCGATGGATTCGCCCGCGAACTCCACCCACCAGATATCACTCCAGCAGCAGCAACGAGTTTATGCGAGACGTCGAGCTCCGAAGCTGCTGGTGGACGGACGACCCGATGGCCAATCAAAACTCGCACGGCAAATCAAAAAATGCGGCGCACGAAGAAGACAACCAAACTTCAAACCAAAGCCAAAGAAAAAGACAATACTTCGAGCCCACAACAACTTGGGAGCCACCCCGCAAGAGCAACGACGACACGGTGTCCTCTTCTCTCGGGTCGTCAAGCAGCAACGCGGAGGAACGAGCCGAGGTGCTCAGCCTCAGCAGCAGCAGGGCCGATCGGCAGGAGGAATGCGCGGGGTTGCCGAGTGCCCACGCCGAGACGAGGAGGAACATCGAGAATATCAAATCGACAGACAGTCAATACACGGGAGCGGTCTCCCGGCCTCCGGGACCGGTGACCATCGGTCCGACCGAGCGCAGGCGGATTCCACGCCATGATCATCTTCCCCATGACAGCAGATGAGGACCATGTCCATCATGCGTGGGCCCGGGCGAGTATGCATTATACTCATTTTGAAATGCGAGGGCAAAGTCATACGTACATTGCTTCGGGCTGACGTATCTCCTCCTGTACGTATTTCCGGAGGAAACGACAATTCTCCTTCACCTGCAACAAGTTGGGAGATACCCTTCAAGATCGAAGACGCCGTCCCCGTCTTCTCTCGGATCGTAAAGCGGCACCGCCGAAAATTGAGCCGAGGCTCGCAGCAGCAATCCGATCGGCGGGAGGTCTGCGCGGGGATATCGAGTGCCCGGTCCAAACGAAAAATCGTGGAGAATATGACCGAGCGATACGGTACACTGGGGCCGTCTCCCGGACAATGGGACTCGTGACCACCGGTCCGGAACGAGCCCCGCGGATTCATCGCCATGATCATCTACCCCATGCCAGCATATGAGGAGCATGTCCATCATGGGTGGGACCGTGCGAGTATGCATACGCGGGAACCCGGTAAGAAAATAACAAAACGGATCGAAAGACCCCCAACCTGAGAGGTTTCTACCTCTCAGGTTTGACTTGGGGCCAGGCCCAGTGTAAATATGCCTCTTATCAGTTTGAAATGTGAGTGCGGTACCATACGTACCCTAAACCTCCTCCTGTACGTATAGCTTAACGGCCACACCCCCCCCCCCCCCCCCCCCCCACCCCCAGACACAGGAGAAACTTGAATTCGTCTCCTGTAGGACAGGGCTTTTGTTTGTTTGTGTGCTTTAAAATAGTTACTCGGGCATTACAGTACTTTACTCTACTACAGATACTTACTCCCGCTCAAAGGCTGAAACCTCAGATAACAGTAGATGCAAACTTTTGTCATAGATCCAGCTTCGAGAGAATGATAAGTGACCTCCTCTTGTTTTATCGGGACGCTGGTTTATCTCTTATCTGTTTATATTTCGTGGATTTCACATATTCAGTCGTTTGTTATTTTTATCTAAGTGTAAAGATAAACATCTTCTGTCATAATCAATTACATAATTCATTTTTCACTATCTAAATAATAAACCTGGACATTTCTATGTGGAGTTTTAGCATTTCATCTTAGTCTTTACATTGTGTACAAACTCATCTTTATTTTTTCTCAATCTGAAAAGTTGAAAGTTTCTTTTAAAAAACACCAATAATTTTTAAATAAAAAGTTTCAAAAATATTATAAATTAATAATAATATTTATATAGAAGGGATAGATTCAAACTTTGAACTTACTAAATAATGTTTATAAATTATTTTTAAAAAAATCAAAATTTATGTGTTTATTTTGACAATGAAACTTTAATTAAACTAATTTACTAGGTTTTACAACTATTATGTAAATGTGAGATTAAAATCTCCAAACTACAAATTATTACTTGACGAGACAACTATAGAACGCAAAACACTTGTTGCATCCAACACCATGTGTTTTATCCGATGGGATTCCAAACGTCGCTGCTAAATTTTGTCATCCATGTTGTAATACAAGTTTTGGGTTAAAAATAATTCACTATAATGACCCAACATATGAACAATGACACTTTCAATGTAGCTCTTGAAACGTCTACAAGATCTTTTGATTGAAAATTCAAAACTCGTCAAGGAGACATCCATAAACTCAATGTCTTGAAAATCAAATAACTCTCAAAAAAAATATGAGGATAATGCTACAAGCTTACAATTCTGATAAATGCAAAAAGTTCTACTAAATATCAAACTATAAGTAATAAGGGGAGATAAAAAATACAAAATGACCTTTAATTTATCAATGTCAATATGTGCATGACAATTTTTATCGTCTAGTTGACAAATTAGAATAACATTTTTTCACTATAATCATTCATAGATTCTCATGAATGCATTTCAATCTCATGCCCAAGAAATTTGAAATTGATTTGGTTCTATAGATGTAGTAACTAAACTACTAAATTCCTAAATATTTCATATTATATGCGTTACTTATTGATTTACAAAGATACGTATTGGGACATGGTGATAGTGGACTATAAAGTCGTATGGAAGAGTTCCATTGCATAAAATGAATTGTGTAGTATTTCAACAATTGTTTTGCTTGAAATCCCATCAAGTTATTTTTTTCTAAATTTAAAATTACAATGTACAATACAAAACCCTCATCATCTTTGCCAAATAAACTAGTGATGTTTAAATTTTATAAAAAATGCAATGATTAAATTAACAAAATTATGTGAGTATTCAATATTCAATATAAAGTTTCAATAATTTATGTATAGTTCAACCAATGCTATAACCAATTAATTAACTTTCTTATAATTAATTCAATGAATGATTAAATATATACATGTGTCATCCACATATTTAAGTGTTTGAATCACATAAAAATATAAATAAAATATTGAATTAATTTTTAAATTTATTCTTAAAACGTAATGCTTTCAACACACTCATCGAAACACTTATAACCTAAACATACATTTCAAATGATTTCTTATTGCCATTGAAATAGAATGAAACAAAATACTTCTGAGTTTTTTTATTATAGAAGATGACTTTCAATTCCTAAGTCTCAATTATCAAAACATAACTTAAAACATATATTTAAAAATTTTATAAATAACAACAAAATTTTTGAATATTTTCTTTTTAAAATAAAATATTCAACATAGTCATAAAAAAATATTTCAAACCAAAAATTAATGAATAAAATCCAAACAACATATATAAGAAACAAAAAAGTTGAAATTTTAACTCAATACGTGAAATTTTGAAATATATTAAAAGATAATATTTCAATTAATACACTTAATACATCATGTATCTATAAGAAATAACATTCGAAAATTTAATTTTAGAAATGAAAATGAACAATAAAACATAAAGTAAACTTTAAAATGAACAACAAAACATAAAGCTTCTAACTTCACAATCAGATATTTTTAATCAAAGCTATTACAAATATAATTTTTTAATTGACATTATGAAATCATCAGTAATTTTATCAATTGAAAATAATTCTAAAAATTATAAAAAATAAAATTTATAATACTTAAGTATAGATGTCTCTCTAATTTGTAACATAGAATCTATATATTGGAATCTAAAATAGAAGTCTATTTTCAATATTATATTTAATCATAATATGTATATAACATATAATTTTTAAATAAAAATCAAACCCAATTTTATAATAAAAAACAATATCATTTTCAAATATATAATAAATTAAATATTTATGCTTTAAATTTTTGTAATAATAATACTTCTTTTCTTTATATGACTTTAATTTATTTCAGTTCATAAAATAACAATTCATGTATATTTTCTAGCAAAGTGATTTTTTGCTGATAATGTCGATAAATTAATCATATAGATATTTTATTAAATTATTAATATTTAAATTAAAATTTCAAAACAACATAAATTTACCAATTAACACACAAGCTCATTTTTACTTGTCTGATCATTGCTTATTTGCAATTTTTATTCTACATTTTTCACATATTAAAATTGAAGAGTTAAATGTGAATTCCATGGAATTCATGTACAAATTGATCAACAAACAAATCATTATGGAATAAATAACTTTGTGACTTGCACAAAATACATTTAAATGTTTAGGTTTATATTCCATAATAATATATAAGTATTCAAGCATGAACTAAATTCTTTTCATGCTATACAATTTCAACAATTAGTAATATCATTATAAAACAAATGTTAAAGCATATTTTTGTTATAAATGTTTGTGAAATGTTTATCTACTTTATTGGACTTCCAAGATGCAAATCATTTTTTCTTATAAGATTGTAAATCACTTTCAATTTATTTTCTTAAATGAGTTCAAATTATTTGTTAAGATATTTAATTTTTAATTGAATATATCATTGGTTTCTGTGAAATATGTAGAGACTTCAACTGATATTTCCTGATCATATTTTAATACTACAAACATTAACCTATAATATCATAAGCTTATATATCTATCAGTTTATGATATCATTTATCAATGTTCAATTATACATATTATAAACGATAAATTAATACAAAAATATATAGTGATTGATCATCATTAAATTTAAGCAACAAATAAACTAAACAGAAAATAATATAAAATTGATTTATATTTGTCCATGTTACAAATTCATGTATTTTTTAATTAACATATGTTAATCATGTGCACCAACTTTATTTTGTATGTTTAGATTTTACTATAGTTGCATTTAATGTTGATAATGATGATCTGAGTGACATTTTATATTAATTTAATTTTCGTTATTTACAAAAAAGCAATATCAATAAAAAAATCAATATCATTTATCAATAAAAATTAATATGAGTATCATATTAATTTTTATTGATAAGTGTTTATACAAACTCAATGAACATCAGTAAAGTAAAAAATTTTGAAATTATGAACATTATAATTAAAAAAATATTTTTTTATTTCAAAAATCAAGCTATTTTGTTGGATTTGGATTTTTACAAAATTTTCGAACTATTACAAGTTCCACATCAATGCTTGTATGCTAATTTTGCACCCATAAATCATAATTATTATTTTTTCATAACATAATGAACAAAACGTCATTTTTTTAATAATTATATCTGTATATTTCAAACACTTTGTTGATTCAAACCAAAACTTGTATCAAATCTCAAATTTTTTTTTAATATTATTGTGAACATATTAGATTGAGATATTTCAATTTAAATAAATGAAATCAAATTAAAAACCAATTTTTTATAATTAAAGACAGATAGCTCCAGCAACTAGCTCCCATAACAATAGAAATTCCTACTGAGAATCTTAATTGCATCATATTTATGCAAATGCTATTTTTCATAAATATGCCAATTCTTCTACAAATGGTAAATGTGTAACAACATACAACAATTCAAGTAGATCTTGAACATATCCTTGTCAATTGAATCGTCCACATTAGATATTGCAGCTATATATTGAATCATAAAAAGCTGAGTACAACTTCAAGAGCAAGATAAAGTCAATGAGGTCATCTTCAACGACACCCGCGTAGAAGAATAGAGTAGGCAGTCAACAAACAAATCGTACGAAGAGGAATTCAAGCGGGAAACACGGAACAGTCTCATGAATTAAATTGGTAAAACTAACTAAAGAATGGTCGCAACATGTACAAGGCTTCGACAGCGTTTGGGCTGGGCTTCCCAAAGGTGTTGCTAGTCCACGTCAGCAGCGCATTCAGCTATTTTTCTGTCCTCCAGAATGCCAACCCCGTCTTAGGACTAGATCACTATTCCGGATCTTGTCTCTTTCATAGTCCGAGAATTGATCTTCCGAGAGAATTGATTTGTCGATGATAGTGAACTGAATTCCAGCCCTCCTAAACGATGATCATTGTGAAAACTTCCGACAGATGGCATGTGTTGGTTGCGATGGAAGCTCGTCCAACTTTACGATGTAAATGCCAGCGTGGCCCCACGCATTGGCTTCATCCACTCTCTGGATATTGTATTGTCGTATCCACATACTGTATGATACGTAGAATGTTACTCGGTTCTACTTGCGCTCATCGTGAAGGCATTGAGTGAGGTGTATGTCATACCTCTCTAGATGAGACTTTCTTCGTAGGAGAAGCTTAAAGACATTCGACTCAGTCACAGAAGTCAACCTCGTGCAGCGTAGGAGTTCGACTACGCGGTGAACTTTAAGATTCTTGAACGCCAATCTACAAATATGCTTTTTTGATCTTGACTTATTTAACCCTAGGGAAGTATCGTTGTATTGTTTTAATCATTGACGAAAGTCCATCATCCTCATCTGAGTTTCACAACTGTTTATAAATTTCAAGTCAAAAATAACAAATTCATTAATGGTGAACAAATCCCACTAAAGCTGGAAGAAGAGTGGAAACATCTATATAACTTTTGTTGAGCTGACGCAAATTGAGACTTCGTAAATAAGAATGAAGTTCCAGAAGATAAAAGAACCTATATCACATTTACTGCATAGCATTCCCCATGATTTGTTGGGTTCAGCAAACCACATGCAATTATTTTTGTTAAGACTTAAGTATTTAAAGAATTTTTCCTTGGTGTATTTCTCAATTCTCATACAATATGGTTTGAGCATATTATACCTATTCAACAACTTTAAACGAAGTTTTCAACTGAAACTTGTCACTTTCATGTGATACTTCATGTTCATAAGATATTCACATGACTATATAAATATATATATATATCTCTCTTTTTTTCTGAGTTTCTATTTTGATTTCAAGACAAGTTGTTTTATGTATTTCATTTAGACATAGAAATCATGAATTTTTTGTTTTTTTAATATCAGATGTAGCTTGCATATCCAAATGATTATAGTTTTGTTTCTTTTTCACAAAACATAGTCACGATTTTTTCATCATCTTGATTCAATTAGCATTAAGGCAAGTTAGTGTGTTGAAAGTCAAATTTATGTTGGACATGATTCAATTTCCATATACAGAATTACTTGTATTGATATTGTGTATTGATTTATAGGATATAGATTTTTTCATCATAAAAACGTAGATATTGATTTATATTAACAATTTAAAAATACATGATGAGCAATGTTAAAGTAATCATGTTTAGAGTATGATATTCAGGTAAAGAAAATTGACGAAGACAATTTTCCAATTAATAATTGCTCACTTTCCAAATCTCAGATATATGTGGTAGTTTTTTTCCCTTCAAACGTTACTGAATAGCATATTAGTGTTAACAAAATTGATATGAATAACATGAACAACAAGAATAAATACACTTGAAATTTATGAATTGAAATGCTCAAAATGTAATTTTTTTCTTGCAATATGATAGTTTTTCCAAAATTGTGATTATAACAAAATATTTGATGAAATTGAAAACTACGCGTGTGATTTCGCTCAATACCACTATTTCATATAACATATTTCCATCGCTCTGCATAGATTACTAACCAATGCTATGTACACAAGAATAAAATGATACATCTTATGATCTTAGTAGATTAGGTAGAATAATTGATGTGGAACGTATTATATTTAATGATAGATACTAGACATAGCTCTGATATTTTATTCAGGTTTAGAAATTATACTACTGAGGTATTGACGCCAATGGTTTTATGCAATTGCCTCCTCCTCGCAGTGTATAGTGTCGTCCTGTAGATATGTCATGATAGATCTCGAGCATCTACGCTAGCGTACGCATACTAGCTGCACTCTCATGGCCATCACCTAGTCCGGGCCTACCACAAGACATTCCATAGTTTGAACATGGGACCTCATCTAAAAATGAACGTCGAATTCCTGTCTGTCAAACCACACGGTAATTCCGAACGGCCTACCACAAGACATTCCACAGTTTGAACATGGGACCTCATCTAAAAATGAACGTCGAATTCCTGTCTGTCAAACCACACGGTAATTCCGAACGGCCTCGATTCGGACAATCGGACAGCAGCTGGAGAGGGCGGGAAGATCAAGACGGAGCACTTTACCTGCCACTGAGGTCACTGGACGGACACAGTCGAGGAGTAAAGTAAGTTTAAATTCTGTGGTGCAGAAGTCTGTCGCGGGCTCTGTGAGAGCAAGGAGGAGGATGGACTTCCGGTTTATTTTAAGTCTGCATTCAGACAGATATGAACACGTCTGGCCATTATCTGAAGAATGATGGTCATAGTCTCATTCTATATGAGCACCTGGCCAGCATTCAGTGGTCTTGCAATTACTATCTGGAATTAGAACCTCCAGTCCACACCCGAAGCGTCGAACCTACTACAATTCATATGATTTATGATTTCTCCTGGTGTGGATCATTCCATCATTGATCACAGTCAACTGTCGTCAACCTTCTCACATTTTCGAAGACGGAGTATTTTCATTACAAACCAGTTCTATCTTTTAATAATAAGTCGTTCTATCGCTAGATGTTTACGAGCTCAACTGCAAATCACTCATCGGATGTAGTTCAATCAACAAGATTATTACAAATTGATGTGCATAGATATTCAGGTTTATAAAATGTTGATCTGAATCATTACAAAATATATTCGTTTCTTCATAAAAGTAATATATAGTAAGATTCATTCTGAAATCCAAGAAGCACAATGTATCACATATGGTTTACATATGTTAGTTGTGGATTTTTCCAAAACTAAAGTGATTAATTCATCATTCCCTATAAGGAATGAATGATATATACAAAGAAAACGATTTTACAAATCATAACAACTTTCTAATCTTTACATAATATGCATGTAAAATATGGAAAATAGTCTGAATTGAAGCATTAATGTTCAAATTCTCTTGTCTATCAAGTACGAATCGATGCGTGTTAAAGATTTTCATTAACAGCCAACAAAATTATTTCTTTGTTGGATCTACTCCTGGAAGAACATGCTTCTTTCTAGATTTACTCATCGGAAATTTCCCTTGTGACTTGGCCCATGCCCGATTCTACATCAATATTCCTAGCTTTTAGCACGATCGTCCAAAGCTGCCTGAAAATCCTCACCTCAGCCTTAACTTGAAGTCTCACGCATATATTCTCCCAAATATTTGTCCATTAACTAATATAAATTCTCATGGCAACGCCCTCTGAAGTTTGCAGACATGTACACTCGAATGAACGTGTGAATGACATTTGCACTGGAGCAGTCTCCGAAGTCTTATGCACTAAATCAGTTTCCATCTGATCTCCAGATCAGAAGGAGACAGATTCAGTAGCTGCTAAAGAATTTGTCACTCGAATGATTGGAGGAGTCAGACTTATGCAAACTACGCCTGTAGTCTTCTTGAGGTCAGTGGTCGGGGGAGGGATATTTAAACCACTTCCTTTTTCGTGCTGTTGTAATCCGCGTCGGCTCTGCCGTGTTCGAAAGACGTGCACTATCGGAGAGAAGGCTTATCCACAGCTACGAAAGTTGCTACCTCTTTCAGTCAGATCTACGACTTTGTTAAGGAATGACAGTCTGCAGTTTATGAGGTCCTTTGTTCCAGGAATCTTGCTTCTTTGGAATCAAGAGAATATTTCACTACACGTCGCTTCAGACGTAGTACGTGCGTCCACTTAGGGCTGATGGTGATAATCGCGACTGAGTTCATTGCCATTTTCAGTTGGCACCGTCCTCTCCAACACCAATGAAGATAACCTTGCCCGCTGCTTTGTGTATTTTCTTTATAATTATAACCGATTAGTTTCCTTGAGGTCTGCTTTGATTCGTTAAAATGGCTTTCTGGCCCGCTGGCCACTCATGTCCTTTCATTCTAAACCTTATCAGAAGTACGTACCATGATTTCATACAAGAACTCAGCTTTTCTTCCTTGCTTGACGTGATGGTAGGCTTTCTGGGCAAGCTTCTTCAGCAAAAGGCCAGCAGAGCAAGAAGCATGTAGCTGACTGAGATGAAGATTGATTCTACGAGTGCGCAAGGGTATTAAATGGAGTAAATAAAGATTATCCAGTATGAGTCATGAGATAAGGTCTACCGATAAGCTAAACGGGCGTACAGGCCCCAATACAAGCAAGTAACACACGTTATGATTAGGGCTCTAAACGCAGTTTTTCGAGAGTGGCAAGAATTAAGTTCTCGAGACTGCACTCAAGTGAACACCATGATCTCGCGATTCGACAAAAAAACTGGATGCATGAGAAGCCTGAAATAGATCACAGAAGCACGAGAGCAAACGAATTGAGAATGTTTCTATGAACAACCTTGGAAAAAACAGAAGTCTGGGCGGAACCTCGATGCAAGGCCATCCCTGCAAACTCCACATACCTCGTGCAAATTGCAATCAAGCAATGGAGAACATGATAATCAGCAACGACCCATTCAAATTGAAATCCTCTTCGGATTTTGCTTTTCAGTAACCTCATAAAACACTTCGAACATGACCGCCACTCACCGAAGGTATTCCATAATCTTTTAGAGTTTGTTCCTGATTACAAACTCCGTGCGCTACATCACTAACAAAACTTGCTAAATGCAATAGGGATATATTGCGCTCACTTTGCAGTTTACTAAGACAAAGTCATCCCCAACTGGTGCAAATGACTATGAAACTAGTGCATAATAAGCTCGTACGCTTCATTTAGCCTCTCATCTTGGTAAGCATAACCAAGAGTATCAGCCAAGGCTATGAATTCGGCCTCGTCCTCCTTGGGTACTTGCATGCCCACCAATACATTCGCACCCATCTCACCCTGCAAGAAATCATAATATTTAGTTCTATAAGGTCCACAGAGAAGAAGACGATTGTCGAATAATAATTCAACGGGAAAGTCATACATTCTTAATAGTTAGTCTTGCAAGCCAAAGAAGGGCATTACACTCAGATAATATCTAACCAAAACTGAAGAAGGTTTTATCCTGAATCTCCTGTACATACAAACATGAATAAAAGATGAGACGGTAGTTTTCATACCTGTCCTCTGTAGTGAAAGAGGGAGATGTTCCATCGAGGGCTGAAGGTTTCTAAAAATCTCATTAGTGTTCCAGGCCTCTCCGGGAATACGAATCTCAAAAGAACCTCGTTTTCCACCTTCGTTCTTCCACCCATCTGAGACAGTGGTTGGTACGTCTTTGCTCAGCTCAAAGCGATCACTCAAAACCCGAAGTTGTAACAAGACCTTTCATCAAACTGAACTCAACCCCATTACTCACGAAGCAGACAAGAGGGTTACTCACAAGGTGACGCAAGTGGTCCTTGGCAAGGTCATTGTTGGTCATATCCAACGTCCTCAATCCAGCTGCGTCCATCCTAGTCTTTATACGATCTAGCTGCGCCTCGCTAGTAACCCCAACACTGCAGCGACAAGAAGAAACGTGAAAACCTAGTGCATCCGTATAATCCTCACCAGTTATTAATTTCAGCTTGTAGAACGCCTAACGCTTCCACTAACACTCCACGAGTAAGCAGGGATAATGTAGGGCATCGAGAATATCACCAGTGTCTTGGTTAATAATCATCTGCGTGGAGATAGGAATTCAAGCTCATTACCTGCAAAGGACTAGTGCCTCGTTCTCGTCATTGTATCGGTATTTGAACTCTGTAATATTGGCAGGTCCGACCTGAATTAAATTCCGACAACCAGTCATTACAACGAAAGGTCAGTTGAATTTTGTGTTGTGTCCTGCAATAAGAGACAATACAGTCCTTGATAGATGGAACCTGATCATTTAGAAAATTCTTAGTCTGAGATCCAGTTGGAAAGTTTGGGATGAACAACTACAGCACATGTCCGATTATCCGTAGTAACTCACAGATGTGAAGAAAAGTTTATCACTGATGCTTTACTCTACAACACTCAGATGTACGGGGCTTAAAGCACACACAATTGTTCACGAGTTTCTTCAATTATCCAGCTAACTGTTGTTTGAAGATAACCACGTCGCTCGATACAGGAAAATGAAAAGTGGATACACGATGTTAACCTGCCAGCTACAAAGTAATGCCTTACAACTGCCACCAGATCCGGAGATGGTATATTACTTTGAATTATTGTACAAAGCCATAAAGTGCTTGCTCAACACTTCTTAAATACTTTTCTCCACGCTTTCCGCTATTTCCTTCTATCCGAATATCTAAGTTTCTCAGAGTAGTCCGTAGCATTAGGAATGAAGCTGGGAGAATTTGATCTCCTCAGCTCAGAGACTTCTTCTGAACAATGAATTCATCACCTTTAAGAACATGTGGAAAGCAGGGACATCTTTCTATTATAAACAACTGTAATAATGTGCAAAACACAACCATGGATCTTTTAGTCACTTAGCATATGAGTTAGCCCCAACGTTAGGCCATGAAATGACAGGGACTACGAATTGCATTTATAAAGAGGAGATGTAATGAGGCTGCAGGCGTTCAAGAAATCAATATAGATAACCAACCTGCAGGCATGTGGATAAAGTTCTTGTATTGTACTCAGCTGGAACAATTATAATGATTGGCATCCTAGAGGGCCGTCTTCTCTTCCTCAGAGAGCTAGAAGTCTTGTGACGCTCAATTATAATTCTTGGTAGCGAGGATAGTTCAAGTGATCATAAACATTTTCAGCACACCTTGAAGCAGTTCACTGTGTAGGAAGTGCCCAGTTGCTTTCGAAACATTCTTATTCATGAATCATAAGTAAGTGAGATCGTACTTACATCTAAGTAGACTTCTAGATGCTTTAGGACAATAATAACAGACTAGCTACCCGTCTTGCAGAAACCCATAGCAAATTCCACCAGTCCAGTGAACAAGCTGACTTTCTTGAAATGACCTAAAGAACACAATATCTCAAGAAAATGAGATGAAAGTCATCAACAATTCAGCATATAAAAGCAGAAACAATGGGATGTCTAGAATCACCTACAGAATCAACGAACGTTTTGAATGAGCCAGCCTGCTCGGGCATGTAAGTTGCGAGAACAGCTTCCTTCCGAGCTCCTACATCCGCCAACTCGGTCACTATACGAAGACGGTCAAAATTCATATTTGCTCCACTTGTAATAGCAACCACGGTCTCATTTTCCAAACCGTAATAGCTGCAGTAAGCCTTGGCTCCAGCCAATGACAGGGCCCCTGCTGGCTCTAGTATACTTCGAGTCTCTTCAAACATATCCTACACGAGACAATCACATGGGCATCTTCTTAGAGCTGATCAAGAATACCGAACCACTCCAGTGTGTCGATCTGATCCTTTGGTAAAACAAACGTCTTAAAATTTGAAGTATATAACTTGGTCAAGAGTGCCATCGAAATTTAGCAGACATTAATAAGATATTACAAGTTGATCTCTACGCACCTTGATAGCAGCACAGATGGAGTCTCGGCTCACCAGGACTACACCATCCATCAATTCTCGACTCAGGCGGAATGTCTCCTCTCCTACCATCTTCACAGCAACACCATCGGCAAAACCTCCAACCTGGTCAAGAACAACACGCTGCCCATGGTGTAAAGACAATGCCATCGCATTGGCATCGGCTGGTTCGACTCCAATTATGCGAACCTGACACATTCCCACTCACTCTGTATTAGGAATCTCATGACCAAATTCTTGCTTGAAGCTGCACAAAGGTACCAAAAAAATGGTTCCACGAAAGGAGGATCAGCTGATGCAGCAGCCCGTTTAGCGTAGTTTAAAATGATCAGGAGAAAACCTCAGGGCGAACTCGCTTCATATATGCAGCAATTCCAGCAATGAGTCCACCACCTCCCACTGGAACAAAGATTGCATGCAGAGGACCTTGGTGTTGACGAACAATTTCGAGACCAACGGTTCCTTGACCTGCAATGATGTCTGGGTGATCAAACGGGGGCACGAAAACCCGACCATCATCCAACGCTCGCTGCTTTGCATATGCTTGCGTTTCATCATAGGCATCCCCAACTAGCACAACTGTTGCTCCAAGTCTTTTCACCGATTTCCACTGCACGGATTTCCACCGATATTCAAAGTCAGTGATTCACGTCTTCCATCCAATTCAATTAGGGAAGTATGAAACTGAACTTGCAAAACCCACATATTACGAAATGTGGAAATAAGCTCACTCAGAAGTCAACGTTGATCCACTTTTTTCAAGAATAAATACATAGAACATATCTCTAAATGTGACTTATCTAAAATCTAAAAATCTAAAAATCTAAAAAATGGTTTAGATTTTGAGATACGTCACATTTAGAGAGCTTAAACTGAACTGATGAACATAAAATACGGCATATCTACCAATCTATAAAGGATAGAAAGGACCAGGAAACTTGTAATCTAACATTCCAAATGATTAGAAAAACATAGACTTGACTCATCCGCAGCAAGCCCAACCTTGATTTCGGGTGTAGTGACAGGCATAGCAATGACAGCATCACATTTCAAACGGCGCGCAGCCAAAGCAACCCCTTGAGCATGGTTGCCAGCTGATGAGCAGATAACACCTCTTGCCAGCTGTTCTCGCGATAGATTTGCCATCATATTGTAAGCCCCACGAAGCTTGAAAGAAAATACCTGTGCATATATTTTGCAATGAAAGAGTGAAGTTATTTGAGGCAAATGATAAAATCCACTCTTGTGACTAATGCCGACTAACAGCAAGTGGAAGAATAAACGCAAATACATAGATGTTCCGGACGCTGAATGCTGAAATCCGTAAAGAAAGCTGCATGACTTACTAGATTAGATTCCACACGTAGCAGGGAAAATGCGGCCTCTAGACATACGGTTACTAACCGGTTGCATATCTTCACGTTTCAGCAGAATGCGGTTTGCAACTCTTTCACTCAGCTTTGGGGCAAGCTCGAGAGGTGATTCAATTGCCACATCATAAACCTTTGAATTTATGATACGAGTCAAGTAGGACATAGCATCTGCCGCTTCAGAAGCCTCCACTGGAGCTGTTTTCTCCGAAATTCCTCCCAGATAACCTGCCTCATACTGCAACGACTCCGGAGACACTCTCAAGAAAGGACCAGCGCTCGTATCAAGTCGTTCCTTAGAACTGCCCAAGCTGGCTGACTCCTGCGATGGTGATGTGATCGCAGCAGCCCCACCCAATGCAGGTGGACTCCGAACGGGCTTCCCCTGGCCCTTGACCGGAGAGGTGGGAGTCCAAGAGCTGGTGCCGTCTGCTGCAGAAGCTACAACTGTCACAGGTAGATGCCCAGAAGACGGACCTTTCTTCAGACATTGCTGCTTGTCGACAGATTTGCTACTCTTGGAAACACGGAGACCAGAAAATGATGTTGAAATCCTCTGCTGCTGCTGGAGTTGATTATGTGATAAAGACCTCCCCTGAACAGAATGGTGCGACTGGAGTACCGCTAAATGCTGCGCGGTGGACGACAGTGACACCAGGGAGTCCATGGTTTGCCCCTCGCCTTCCCCGCCTCTTCTTCTTCTACTTCTACTTCTACTTCTTCAACAAAATGCAGGCCGACTCTCTGAAGTATCCAGGTCTAGACAACCTTACTGAATCCCCACTGGCTCACTGTCCGCCGCAGAACCAACAACTCCCATACAATTCAGAAGTTCTGTCACAGCATCCGCAAGCAGCTCCCCCTCGTCTCGGGTCCTGTTGCCTCGTCCCGACTCGCATCCTCGAAGATTTCCCAAACGGGCAATTTCTAAGACCTCAAAATTATCCGTCCATCGCTCGAGAGGACTCTAAACATCCAATCGCGCAATCGCGTCCCTGATCCGAGCGAGGCCACGCTCCGCGCGCTCCTCTGCGCTGAGCTGCGCCGCACCTCAATTCACTCCCCACCTCGAAGAGTAGATCGCAAGGTAAAACTCGATTCTGCGACGGAATCGAATCGACCCCACCACGGATCCTCGAGCGCAACCCGAGTCTGACTTTACGGGTGTCGTTTTATTGTCTCTTGAATCTTGATTCCTGTCAGCTCGTAGCTCCTAGGAACGAACGAGCGATCGATTACTTGAATCAATGCTCGTGACTCGTCGAGGGCAGAGGAGACGCGCAGGGGAGCCGGTGAATCTTGTGAGAGCAGGGCTGGAGTCCGGAGAGAACGGACCAGCCGTCGATCGGAGGACGGATCGATTGGACGCATGCGCTTTTGGGACTTTGGATCGAGGCTCAGGAACAACTCTCGGCGACGACTCTTTAATAGAAGAAGCAGGGCCTTGATATTCCGAAGGTTCGATCCTCTTGGAAGACCGGTCCAAGTAGCGTTCCGTCTCATGCTCAGGTGCTCTCCGCGGTCATGGCTCAGGAGACCGTGACGGAAGTCTGCTCCAAGTCTCCACCGCGCCGCGCCGCCGTTATATCATTGCCCGGTCGAGCAGCGCGAAAATTCGGCGCTTTTCCTTGAATCCGACTTGCTATCGTGCTAACGACACAGCCGGCCTTTATAGACGTACTGCACTATCTCTAAAGTTGTGTGATGTTCAATAGATCTTCAAGTATCCAAAGACAATGATGGTGCTAAATTCATGAGAAATGTATATATAAAGCATATATATTTTTTTTTCTGATTTTGAATACAATAAAACTAACTAATTCATATATTCAAATATAAATGTATCCCGGTTATATGTTATTTGAACTTGAAATTGTTTTGTTATATCAATTGAATTTTTAATATGATTTTAATCCAATGGTGTGAAAGCAAGACATCTGAATGAATAGATACTTGAAGGTATGAATTCTATGCAATATTATTGATTATCAGCTCACACTTTCAGCATCCACAAATCATTTAACTTGGAGAATTCTTTAAATTTATAGATATATATAACATTAAATGATTATTTTTTTATGAAACCATACGTCTATTAAATGATTTTAAAAATATCAGCACAATTGCTAGAATTGAATCTTGAGCTTGATTTTGCTCATTTGACACAATCATAGTAAAAATTTATCTAAAAGAAAACTTCTTATCAAAATATTCACATTGTTACAAAAGTTAACAAACTTTGCATCTAGCAACTGTCTATTCGCAGCATGAAGTACATAATACAGAAAATATAGTTCTTATCATGAGAAAAGTAATTCATTCACTTTCACGGGAAAAAAAAGACCAACACAAAATTCAAACGTATCAGAAATTCATATGACATGGATAGAAAAAGATATTTAATCTTTGAAAGAAATCTCCAATTCAAGATTGAAATTTGAGTCATAGATATTATCAATCAAATTCAAACATTAATAGATTAACTCTTGACGCTATAATTGGATGTTAATTTAAGTTTTGATGATTCAAGAAAATAATAGTATGACTTGAGATAAAGTATAATGTGCTCTGTAGCAATCATTAGATTTAAAATTTCCTATATGATAAATTTAATTAAAAAAGTACTTATTTATCTTTTTAATTTGGCCCAAGTTCTTGGAGAATATCATGATTTAAATAATAAAGCTATAACATGATTGATGTTGTATCCATTCCAACATTAAAATAAAAAGTTTAAATTGGAGTGTTAAAAGATTTATGTAGACCTCGCATTTGCACTTCGATAGAGTGTTATAGATAAATGAAAAAAAAACTTACAACACAAGTTACATATTTGAATGTTTGATCTAATGAGATGTCACTCATGAAATCCAAAATAATAGAAAATGACATAGTTATAATTTTCACTAGACTAAATTATCTAAATATGCCTAATTTACTCTACTCAAAAATATTAATTTAGATTAATTTAGCGTCATAAAAAGATTAATTAGGCTAATTTAGTACTTGCAAAAAAAAATGATTTAAATAATTTTCAATACAAATTGTTTACTTAAAACTTATCAATGCTCAGATTGTTCTAGGAAAAGAGTTGCAACTGCAACATAATATTCCATCAAATTTGGAAATCAAATATCAAATGAAGAATATACAAACTTGAAACTTCAACGGCTAGAAAGTGAATCAACGACGCACTTAACCACATGCTCACATCTATCAGCATGAATTAAAGCTTAGTGCTCGACAGCTATGAAAAAATGCTCTAATTGAAAAACAAGTTGTCGAATCTTCTAAAATAGCTTGACAAATTCATATGGTAGCATTAGAAAATTGGAACCAGAATCAGTCATTGCATTAGTGTTTCAATCTTGTTAAGAACAAATTTCAACGATATGATAGCATGTAATGAGTAATGACAGAAACTAGAGCGATATTGTGTTGAAGATTTTGTAGATTGCTTTCATCGACTTTATTGAGTAGATTTCAACCCAATGAAAAATTCTTAAACACTTGATGAAGCAACCTCATTATAATCAACAATTACATGAGTTGATATATAAATATTTGCAATTGAATCTTCATCTAGCGATCCAATCACTCCAACATCGTTAATGAAAGTTGATCTAGTACATTTTGCTACCGAATTACTATAATAGTTAAATTTTGAATAACACAAAAAGCGACAGTTACTCGAGCAGTGAAATATTGCATATAAAGAATTGCAATTCATCATAGTCAAGATGAGACAGAAGTTTACTATGTTGATCCAATATAAACAAGCAACTCTGTCCGATAGATTTTAAATCAAGTGATGAACTTCTGTATTGAAAGCTAACGCTTAACAAGCGGAACACATGTAGTTTGTATTTCCGCAATCATTTTCAGTTGTTGTGTTAGATGAGTAATAAATCTAATCATCACTGAAAAGAATCGCTATTTGATGACATTATTAATTATCTTCTTCACAACAAGATCTGGTTTATGTGTCGTCGAGTCAAACACTCATGAAAATGTCCAAGAACGTCAAAGAAGATTGACAATATTTTGTAGATTGGCAGCACAAATAATCCTAACAAAAGTACTAATTTTGATTACTAATTTTGATACGAGATCACATTTGTAAATCAGGTTTAGCTAGAACATCATACCTGAAACTGATAAGTTCAAGACGCCATACAAAATGATGTACCGCAACACACATGAAGCATAGCCAAGCGGAACAAAAGTTGTTTTTTTTTTGGAAAATTGAGATTAAACAAGAATATTCCTTCAACAACAACATAATATATGTCTCGTTTAGAACATAAACTTTTTGAATAAAGAGAAAAAAAAGAAATATTTACTAATACACAATGACAAATATTATAGAATCAAAGTAATGAGCAAAATAAGCAAAAAATCCTAAGAAAGTACTACACTTCTTTTACTTCATTTTCAGTGAAGTAGTTGTCAATGATTCTAAGAAATTCAGCTATACAAACTTAATTTCAACATATATTTTTTTCTAGACGGTTTAATCAAAATTTCATAAAAAGTTAAGACTTGATATTTAGAAAATGCTAATGGATCATGTCGAAGGTAGCTTAAACAAATACATAACATTAGTAATATTCCCCAACTTTATGCAACTCAAATGAGTGAAGACAAGATACATAGTAGTAACAAAGTAGAAAAAAATCTGTACTCTATTATGCTCTCTGCTTTTGATAGTATGATAACAAGTACAATGATATCAAAACTACTCATTAAGTTTTGTTCTGAGAAATTTCAATCGTCTCATGGCTCTCCAATCAATAAGTTTACATGTGAAAGGTCTTTAATGTACAAGCAGGACAATAATGTCAAATAAGTAGATTCTAACTTTTGGAAGCGAAAAAATAAAACTACGATGGCAAATCTAAACTTTGAGCTCAAATTATTGTATTTTAACAAGATCAAACAATGCACCAATAATTACTCTAATTGTAAAAAGTGAGCAGAACAAAATGAATTGTTGAGAATATGACTCGCACTTTTGACTTTTCAATCGATGATTTATGATCATCTTGAATGTAAACATGTAAAGACTCTAACGGGTTGATATAATCTTGATTAATTTATACTTGTCTACCTCTTCCTCATTGGTTGTTCCATCCATATTTTTTCCTCCTTGATTGCCCTTGACACATTAGCTTAAATGTCAAAATGCGTCATAGTTTAGGTGATTTAGGAGTTGTTGTATATAGTCGCCTAATACGACTATGCCTGCACATGCGTGATCATTATATGCTTTTGAAGAAATTAGCCAAAAAGAACTTTAAGATCATAGATCTAAACAACTCTAGACACCTGATTCGTGCCGAATCCAACGGCACCAATCAATGGGGTCTTTGAAATAGATCGAGTACAGAAACAGAAAAGAGATTGTATAAGGGAACTCTTTACTTCTAACTCATCATTGCTTGGATCTCCAATCAATGATGCGTACTCAGAAATGGCACCACCTCCGTGACAATGCAATAGAATTTCACTCAACTTCATGAGACTATTAGCTCCATTGTAAAGTTTCGGATGATATGATGACCATTTATCATGATCATCATAAAACCTATTAGATAGAGATTTGTGGGCGAAATCAAATGTCTTAATTTTGTTTCCCCCGGTTATGTCTAGTGCGCGGACAAAATTAATTTTAAACGCGCAGATTCTCGGAGTTAACGTACATTACTCCACGGATCGGACAAATCCATGACGCGAAGGAGTGTAACTTAACTCCAATTCTGACTAAATAATGGTAGCTCAGCTCAAACAATACAATGTCGTGTCTTGCCAACATCAAAATAGGCACATCGTCATCTTCCACGCTTACACATCTCTCTGATCACATCCACTGATATGATCGGAAGGTAGGATGGACCGATCTTGAGAAGGTAGGTCGGTACATCTTTCCTTCTTTGTTTAAGTAGATCGAGAAACGCATCTCCCACTATCACATGCAACATCAATCTGACGTTTGTCAACAAGGCAGCAACCACCTCGTCGCCGAGAGTGAAGGTCGGCAAAAAGGTCGGCATGCGGAGTACCAAGACCAGCATCTCAAAGAGCTTGTGATAGTAACTATCACATCATCCCTCTGTCAATCGCTTCGATTCCCTACATCCATATGTCAATGCCTACAGAGAATAACCCATATCGATTGAGCATTTAGAAGTTATTGGGCCAGTTTCTTTAAGGTATCAAAGAATTTCTAAAAGCGGAGAGTTTCCGGAAGGCTACTAGATTAGATTTAGCTAGAAGCATACAAGAAGCCAGATGAATGCTAGAAGCATACATCTACAACAACAACGACTACAATTAAATACTTATGATTATTTTCATATTACATTTACAACCTTTAGTTGAATGTATGATTATGACGAATGTATATTATTATTTGAGTTCTAACAAAACAATTTTATTGCAAGTATTATTGTTGTATGTCTCTTTGAAATTTTTGAGATTTAAGATTGAAAATCATCTTGATGCATTTGATAATCTTATTTTTTATAATCAATATACAATGAATAAATGATGAGATTAAAAAAAATTATTTTTGTGAATCGATTGTTAATTGTTGACTTACAATCGATCATTATCAAGTGTGTTGTTTCATTTTACTAGGTAGATAATTACTTACAAAAAAAATTGTAAATGATTTGTTCATAATGATTTAGAGTAGATAATGATGTTATTATTGTGTCAATCTTCTTCATTTGTTTCATCACGGAATGTGATTTGAGGTTGATCATATTCACTGGATTCAAAAAATTACAAATTTTTGTCAAAACAACTCGTAAAAAGTGATAACAAGTTAGAAATTTTTTGACCATTCGACAACATTGATCTTTTTCATTCCAAAGTGATACTCAACCAGTTTACGCAAATTTGATTGTTCCATCCTCATGACTATGTTGAATTACACTCAACATAGTCATGAGGATTTATTGAAATTTATTTGAAATTGAAATTTATAAGTCGTTGAATTACACTCAACGACTTATAAATTTCTCATATATTCAAAGTAAAAAATTACTTGATTTTATCTTTATATAATAGTTTACTAAATGTTCTCAATGTAGTCTTCTCACCATACAAACTACATAGTGTCATTTGATCAACCTAATGATTCATGATCATTTGATTTAAATTTTTTTTTTCTTCAATTACAACATTCTAGAAATTTTAAGAACCTGTTGTTATATGTATGAAGTAGAAGTAATATAACAAACAAAATTATTATCATAAACTCATTTTTCACTAAATCCAACTATGATGATTGGACTAAATTTAACCAATAAAATTGATTTAGTATCAATTGGAAGTTTTAGAAGTACTAAGTTCTCAAATGCCATATCGTCATCTCAATCTAGAAAGAATAAGAATTTTAGAAATTTGGATGAACCAATGTCATGTTTTCACCTAATGCGAAATATTCAAACCCACCAAAGTTTATTTTGGTAAATATTAATTAGATGATAATTATCATATGCTACTATAGTAGTTTTTCAAATGGAACAAAAAGATAAAAATCTTAAGTAAGTTTAGAAAGTTTATTTTGTGAAAAAATATCAATAGAAAATTGCAAACTCATCAATAGAAAGGTGAACTTCACTATCATTGGAGTGTTGATGACTAGAGAGATTGGAACACTCACATGTTAAAGAATACTTATATTGTATAACTATAATAAGTTACCCAAAACTAATATGAGAGTGAAAGTGTACACTAATATCTAAAATACATGTAACATTTGATTTTGCAAATGCGTTTCACTCTTCCAAATCTGTTGCAAGTGTAGGAGAGGCAATTTCTTATTATCACCAAGGAGTCATATTCAACAACAAACCAGCTTGTTCCCTTAGCATCATCAACTACTTACGATGTTACCAGGAGAGTATTCTTAGAGCATAACACCCTTCCATATAATTTGAGTAGCAAGTAGCAAACTGAAGAAATCAAACAATGAGAGGTGGTTTAACACATACTATAGAAACAAAATAAATTTCTGATGGAAACTAACGAGTCTCATTGGAGTCTTCTCATTCCTTCAAACATTCTAGTCACTCTCGCTTATTTGACAAGTCCAAATCCATTCCAACAAATTGTCAATTGCTACTCTTTGTGCAAGAGTTCACGCCTATGATGCATTTGCATCTTTCGAACAACATGATGGTTGGATCTATCCCTCCATAACCAAAGAAACTTGGTGAACTTGGAATGCTTGTACTTGAACGGCAACGACATCAAAGGTGCTATTTCACGCTCATCGGGCAACTGCTCTCGTCTCTCATCAGTTAACTAAATGATAAGAATTCGTGTTGGTTTGATTCCCCATGAATTGGGAGAATTGGCGATTCTCAATCTTTTGGACCTGTCTAAAAATAATCTCACTTCTATGATACCAACTTCGATTGCAACTCGTTGCCTGAACTTGACCAATCTCGACTTGAGTTCCATCAGGCTCAACGGAGAAATCCCACCTGAATTAGGGACAGATTCAAATGCTCAAGGTTGTAAGGTTGCACGGAACCAACTTGACCGGCCCGATACCAGATACTCTAGGACTTTGTCAACCTCTCACGGATCTGATTGTGGGACCCAATCTACTAATCGGAAGGATATCTCTTGAGCCGACGAGATTTAAACAGCTGACGAGTCTGCTGATCACCGGTACTGTACTTACATCACATTAAAGGTCCGAGTGGACGTGCCACAGGTTCAAGACCTTCCACTCTGAGCAACTGTACAAACCTGAGGACACTGCAACTCTCTAAAAATCAGCTCACTAACACTATCCGGCAGGTCTGGGCAGTTGTACAAATCTCACCGTGTTGGAGTTCGCCAACAATCTACTCAGCGACCCAACTACGAGTTCTTTGGGCAATTTGATGAATATGGGCCGACTGGATGTCAAAAGCAATCAATGCACTGGCATCATTCCTCCCGAGTTCGGCCAACTGTAGGCTCTCTGATAACTATCTCAACGGTATTTTAGCTCTGAAACCAAATTGTAAGTGAAAATTCACGAGAATTCACACAGCACAAATTAGCTCTGAAACTAAATTGTGAGTGAAATTCACGAGAATTCACACAGCACAAATTCATGCAGATTCGAGGGAAAAAAAACGTGGTTCGACGCCAACAAAAGATTGCTGGTGTCGTAGATATCACCGCATGACTCTGGAGAATATCCTTTGAAAGGAGTACACGTTCACACAAAAAATCAGATATATCGAAGATTACCTAAAATCGAGAAAAGTTATATCTTATTTTACGTACTGTATCAAAACTGTAATCATTAAACATGAAAAAATGAAAGAAAAACACATGTCTGTTCAATCAGAGGGATGGAAGTTTCCATCCATGACAATCTATCCTCAAGATGTTAGATGGAACATATCATTTTTCTTACGATCAAACTGCATTCCTTAATTCTCGTGTCAGCCATTGTTCAGTAATATTTTATATTTTATTCTCCTGGAACAAGGGTGGTAATGGCTCTCAGACATTGATCCACAGTGCATCATACCTTACACTCCAGTAATGGGACTGTGATTGATCTCTCACTGTCGATTTATATTTCCTATTTCACAAGACTAAATTGTTTACTTCTGACAGATTCTCAAGTCAAGAGCCAGGTTTATTCATCACTGTACCAAACCTTAAGTGTCGTCCCTGCTAAACTTCTTGAAGTTCAAAGCGAGAACTAAAGTCAGATCTTTCGATTCTCAGTCCCTTTTGTTTTCGTCCCAGCTCATTACATGAAACCAGGTCACTCACAACTGCACATGGTTCGCCTTGTTCTGCCATAGTTCAGTTTTCTTCCACTTTCCTGGCGATCCGTGACTGGTTTCACTCACGCACTTGTTGACCACGTATTTTGCAGGCTTGCGTCGACAGTCTCTTATATTCAGACTGATCCGAGCGTTCTGTTCTGACGTAACAGCAACGACACCTCTAACTACCAAAGACCGACTAATTGGGAGAACGCTTACCTGACGTATACCACCACGCTGGCGACGTGTCAACCATGTTAGGACCAGTACTAAATGTGACAGGCAAGCTGCTTTTGCTCTGAAAATTTCACCATCCAGCTTACAGTGATTCCGTCTTCCAGTCGACAAGTCTCGGTAATCTACATTGAGTACATTCCCTCGGGTTCTATTCCGAGTCGAATTCAACTTCATTTCCACTCATACGCGTTGTTAGTACTGAAGCGTGATGCCAGCTCCCCATACGTGCGGGGTTACTTGTTTTCCACTATATCTGCAGTAAAACGTCATGCACTTGGATAAGTTCCACAGGGCAGTGCAGGCTCAGATTACTCCTGAACTGTTGTCCAGTTTCATCTCAGGCGATCCAACAAAACCAGAACAACTCAGACCGTATGGGTCCCTTCGCCTTCCTTGATGACAATGCGCTACGGAAGGACTGACAGAATATCAGAAAGCTGCTGTTGCTGTTAGGTACGTATCCAAAGGCGGTTCGGAAGCATTACCGACCGTGCGACACAGATGAGACCATAAAAGACATTTCACTTTACAATTGTCTACTTCTCGCAGATGATACAAGCATTAGGATAATTGGTTTTAAATGAATCCTCAATATATTGAAGTAGACAGGGAGCAGCAGAACAATCAGATACCTTAGTGTAGGGCATATGCTAATTATATTGCTACGAAACGCTTACACCGAAAACTGATGAGACAGAATCGTTCCACTTTAAGAATACATTGCATATATATATCAGGAATATCGAAATACTGTGCCATGACCTGGCCATAATAGGCTTTCAAAACAATCACGTGATGAAATTGTGCTGGTTCAATCAATACCAAGGTGGATAAAAAGCTGATCACCAACTCACATGCACTGAGCAGGATTAAACCCAGAAGACAAGACAAGACATGACAAGCTGTCTGCACGGAACCTGGAAGCCCTTTAAGAGCACCATTCAGCATCCAAAGTTGACGGACGGCAACCTCTCTCTCCACTTCCTAAAGTGGCACTTGAGTGCGACAATCTCGTCCTCCAAAAAAGCTAGAGAGAACAAAACTATGATGGTCTACGGAGCTATATACAAGAGATAGGAACTTTGCTTCCTCCACGTCAAGTTCCGGCGATGTCTGCTGCTTTTCACCATACTCCCATCAACAAGCTCGGGTCATACGGACTAGGAGCATCCACTTCCAACCGAACGACTCTCAAACCTATGAAAGTAGTGTCCACTCCTTGGACGCAGTCGTACTCGAGTTCTAACGTATGGCGAAGTTGAGACCACTATTAACATTGTTTGTCTCTGATAACACAGGTACAGAACTCTCCTTCACACATGCCTTGAACTTCAGGTCACTAGTTAATGGTGACCCTCCTCCCTATGACTTTCAAACGATCATCACTTCTCAACTGACAACCAGCTTTGGCTTGTTGATGTGACTATCAGATACCCCCTTCCTCTGCAAACGCTTCTTATCTGCCGAGGAGATGGCTACAGCAATACCCATTCTATTAAGCATTTTCACCACATGTGCGAAACTCATACGCACACATATCTTCTTTCCTAATTGTTCTCAAGTATACAGCCTAGATTAAGGTGAGATGGTCAATTCGAGGCTCAAGACTTCACGTTTCCTCCCAGAAACGAGTTGAAAAGTTTCGAAACTCCTGACAGAAGCTAATTCAAAGACCATCTCTACCGTACACCTCTACAATACTTTTATAATTTGCGATTTACATCTTAGTATTCATGACAGCCCTTTTGTTTTGATATTAGTTCTACTAGAGTTATTTTATTGAAGAAAAGCAGCAACCTCCAAGGACCTCAATGCAGCTTACGCGATAAACGACTTGCGGCACACGATAATATGCCCTTCTTTTAACCAAAGATGGACACACTCCGGGCAAAATTACTCATACAGGTAAAGGACCAGCAGCAGGTGTCTGCTGGAGATCATGTCCATGGTTACTAGTCTCCTCATTGCCCTGCGCCTGCACAAGTCAGGTCGTCTCATCAAAAACTCGTACCGTCAGAAGCCTCAACAACTGCCAGCTACGACCTTATATCGGCTCTTTAGCAAGAAGCAGAGGATTTCAAGTTGAACTATCCCGCCGTGTCAATTTTCAAAGTCGTGAGCTCCCCAAACAACATGCAGAAGAGTTATCTCAGGGACAAGCCAGTCAAACTCCCGAAGTACTGGAAGAAATTCTAAGGTGGCACGACAAAGGGCTGAGAAGAGCAACTTTACACCAAATCAAATCAAATCCACCGAAGCAGCTTGCTACCCAATGGACACAGATCTACGTAAATGCATCCTGCGCTTTATTGAATTGACAAGTAATGGGGTGTGTAACAGAGAAAGATACACGTTATTGATTTCATTAGGTCAACAGAAGTCAAGCAAAGGCTCGTCTGACGACGACCCTGTGAGCACACCGCACACAATCTCAAGGGAAAGTTGGATCTATCATTATTGCAGTGGGATGACCACGAAACTCCCCCACCTAAGCTAGGCATCAACCGAGTGGCAAGTCAGCTTGTGCTCCGCGTCAGTAGGAGCAAAAGGCTTCTATTTTTTTAACCCTCACCAAGGCCAAGTGAGGCTTAGAGCTCATTCTCTGGATGTGAATTTCTACAGATCACTGCTAATCAGGCAGCAGGGAGGCTGTTCATATGCTTCTAGTCGACGAATTGAAGTATTCAGCTTCATACCAAAGAAGTTCAGCAAAAATGAACAGACGGGGTCAACACTAGTAGGCACCTCTACGTCAGACCATATCGACCAATCACAGCGGCTTCGTTCTATTTCGTTAACGTGTTAGAAACCTATGATGATGACGAGGGGCTTCTTCTTTTGAATGATATGGTGTAGCAAACAGACTGGTAGCAACTGACCTTTGCAGGTGTGCTCCCTACACTATGACTGGCTTCAACACCGCTAGGCTGAGGAGCAACTCTGCTTGAACTTGCAGTCACACTACCGGCATGCACATTTGCTCCCGATGAGCTTGAAGAGCACTCTTGGCCTTCACTCCCATCTGACACACGAGAGGTTCCTGACTGGTTCAAGGTGGTGCCTACTTGCGTGTCTATACCAGCACTCGAGTTCGGGGCATTGATGTTGTCTCTATTCTTATCAGCTGATTCAAGTGATATTCGTTCCAAAGCTCGGACAACACCAGCACTCACTTCACGAGCACGGGCGCCCAAATCCGCCATCGCACCGTTTCGTACTCGAAGTCGCTCGCGGAAACCTCTAGTAGTCTTCGTCAAAGATTCCCTGTATCTGCAAACCAGCAGCAGGCATTCCGATTGAATCTGAGTCTAGAAAGGTCTTCTGTGGCCACAGAAAAATGTTAACTGCCAACTGCTTCAATCAAGAGCGACAATGTCATCAACCGCTGTACCTCTCCATGACGGAGGTCTTCGTACCTTGATGAAGCTGCAGCAATTCGGGACTTGAAGGACTCCGAAAACGACTGAAGCTCTGAAGATGACGTCCCTTGCTGGCTCTCCTCCACAGGCTCCAACAGAGCTCGCTGCCTGAACTCCAAACAACAGTGTGTACACAAAATTAGACTTAAATATCAAGTATCTCATCTCTAGATATCGGACCTTTCAAATAAAAGACGGACCCGAATATTTTCAGGCTTCAAGTGAGCTTTCTGTGCTAGTTGATTCGAACCTGAGAGAATACGAATCCATAGAACTACTCTCCACGCTTCTTGATCCTCGCAATGGCTCCGAAACAGACCGGCCATATGTGGGAGTGTTTTGACCGGCCGGAGCTTGATCAGGACTACTGCCCAAACTAATCACATCGGGTGGGGTAGTCGACGATGTTGGAGAAACACTTCCCCCTGTAGAAGCTAAAGAATTCGCTAGATGGTTGGGTGATGTGTTTGAATGAGCAGGTACGATCATGAAGTGTGGGTGTCCTTGACCAGAGGAAGGCCTAAAGCGCAAAGGCTCGCCCCTTCTGGCAAACTGCTGAGCTCGTCCCATTGCTGCGGCAGCCAAATGCTGCATGATGCGATCTTCCAAGTCCGAGTCATCTCCGTAAGAGGATGCGAACTGTATCATACACACAGTAGAAAAGTCAATCCTCGTCCTGAGGGGAGTTCTAAGAATCTGTAAGAATATGAGCAACTCTCAGCCATTCGCTCCCAACACGGGACACCAGAATGACCCTCGTCTGCAGCCTTCTCAGTTGCAGACAGTTCACGCAGAGGTACAAAGATTAGTTAGGATAACCTCAAAATGGAGCGGATTCTAACTGACAGTTCACATACAAAAGGGTCTCTAAATATAACAAACTTATGTCAATCGAGGCTAAGATGAGGAGTCAGACGTACTCTGTGGAACTCTGTGTCATCCAGTGGAGAACGCTGATAAAAGGGAGATGATCTTTGTCGACGCATTAACCTCTCCTGTTCGGAAGCAGCAAGAAGAGCTTGGCTGCAAGGACACACAAACATGGCACTGAAGTAGTAAGATTATGAGCACTTGAATTGCTCCTTCATGGCATGAAATTCACACAATTCGAACTAGTTTGAGCCGCTTGTAGCATCGCCCCAGAACTCAATCCCAGAGCGCTTGCCTGTCGGGATCTTTAAGGCTGAGCGGCTGCCAACACATGGGACACTCCTTGCTACGTTGAGACCTGCCCAAACGAACCACACACGATACGCGGTTCAGAGAAATTTCTATTACAACAAAACTCCTCACTTGCAAGAACGCACAGAGACTGTACCTACCTCGACAAAAATCCGACAAACGGAAGGCAAAATATCATTCCGGTGTAGCATACTTGAAGAAAGGGAAAAAGCCACCAGCAAAATGAACTTGCGAGCTTCACCAGATTACATGTATCATAAACAGCTAGGGAAACATTCATTACTGGCTTTTAACGAAGATATGACTGAAATCATATGGCTTACCACTCAAGAATACATTGAAGGTGATACTCGTGCTTGCAATTGGTGATCTGTTGCATCAAAGAACAGGAAGTTAGTGAGCGAGTGAGTTCCAACTCGAGTTTCGATGCTAGTCCACAAAGCACAAACCATCGTTGTAGAGCCCATGGTGGACTGACAATAAGTCCCGTAGTCGTCCGAAACAGTTCATGCAAATGAAGTTTCCACATCATTTAACTCGCCGATAAAAACTTAAAAACCCAGCGGAGATAGACCCAGAACAGCTTTATGGACATATCAAGCTTGTCCCGAGCATGCAAGAGCCCAGCTGAGTCGAAGACAGAGATTGAAGACCCATGAAGCCAAGCGTGTTCAGTATCAGGCTCGCATCTTCAACGAAGCAAATCAAGGACGAGTTACGGTAGGCCTCACTATCCATTCAGAGCCTCCGGTTGGTATTTAGTAGCCGAGTAATGCATCGTGGAAGACTCGGGGAGGCTTAGATTCGGTCGAGAGCCCGAGTGACTGCGTCGATGAACCTCCACAAGACCTTAATCGCGACCGAAGAAAATAAGGTACACACACGAGACAAGAAGAGGATGCAAAATTGCGAAGCGGATGCAAATTTCTCGCGTATAGGGGTGGCAAAAGTGAACCGTGGCAGGATCGTTCTCGCAGAAGTTCTCCAGACAGATTGAGCACGCATCGTCGCAGGCATCCTGCACGCCTCCTTCGACGAACGCGGCCGCGGACGTCAACCGCGCGTCCGTCATCTCCGAGGCCGGCGAAGTCGCTTGCATCCCACTCGGCTTTCTCCTGCCTCTAGCGTCTTCTCCTCTCCCCCGCCCCGCCCTCCCGCCACTCGCTCGCTCGCTCGCCCCTACCTTCCCTTGCGGTCCCTTCCCTCCTCCGGGCGCCTGTCGCCGTTCCTGTCACCTTCTCTCGTCGCGCTGCAATCCAATCGCTCGCTCTGCTCTCTCTCCTCGTCCGCTCTCCCTCCCAGCACACGACCCAGCACGAGCACGAGCACAACCGTCGGCCTCCCCGAGCACTTGGTCGCCTAACAACTCCTCAAGCACCGGCCGTCATCAAACCAACCGCAACTCTCGCTCGCCCTCTTCCTCCTCTTCCTCTTCCTCTCCGCGCTCACAACCAGCAGCAACACATCGACCTCGTCCGCGTCCTCGTCTCCCCCTCGGCCTTCTCCTCCTCTCCTCTCACTCCTCGACCCAATCAGACACACAATCCCCCGCTCACTCGCTCCAATTCCTGCTTGCTCCGAGCCCTGACCTCGTCAATTCCACCACCTCCTCCTCCTCCTCCTCCTACCCTCCTCCCCCTCGAGTTCTCCTCCCTGCTGTCATCCCGTCCAGAACTACTCCCAGCGATGGACGGCACCGACGACCACTCCACTCACTCCCTCCCTCCCTCCCTCCCTACGCACGCACACGCTCTCTCTCTCTCTCGCTCGCCTGCCTCTCGCGGACCCTTCCTCCCTGTTCTGGTCCTCTCCGAGAGGACGTCTCTCTCTCTCTCTCCCTCCCTCTCTCTCTCTCGCTCGCTCTCTCTGTGTGCCTGCGAGTGTCCGAGGGAAAGCGTCCCTCTCTCCTTGACGCACGCAGCGACACGAGCAACGAGGACGAAGAGCGGAGCGCGGGGCGGGACCGGGCAACGGAGCTACAAGCTCTCGCGAAGACCAGCGGACCGGCCCCGGGCAGCACAGGGCCAGGGCAGGGGAGAGAGAAAAGAGAGAGAGAGGGAGAGAGAAAGGGGCAGCAGCCCAGCTGCACTTGCGGCACTTCATGACCCCATCACCCCACCACCACCCGCGCGTGCCCTGCGCTCGATTGCTGCCCCCGTGCCCGCGCTCCAGCTCCAGCAGAGCAGAGCAGAGCCCTGCCTGCCTGCCCTGACTGCCCTCCTCCTCCTCCTCCTCCTCTGCCCCTCTTTCTCGGCCCTGCCCCGCCCTGCCCCGCGGCTGCCCAGCTCGGGCCCTTGCTTGTGACCCAGACTTCGTGGATTTTGTATACACATTAATTCCGGTCTTTGTGTGCAGCTGCTGCCACGCAGCGCAGTTGCAACAGGAAATCTTGGCGAGCCCGTAGCCCGACTTCCCCTGTTCTTGACACCTGTACTTGCCTTATTGTTAAGCATTTCCAGATATTAGCCCGCGCCCGTCCCATTCGCCCCAGGCCTCTCCAATGCCTCTCACACTTTTTCGTCGCAGCCCGATTTGCCCGACCTGTCAGTGTTCCCATCATCCTCCCTCCTGCCTTTTCTTGCCTTTGTATAAATAGCCCGTCCTGGCGCTGCTCATCCCCTCCTCCTTTCTTCCATCACATTTTTCTCAGGGATAAGATTTTTCTCTGCCCGGATCTCCCTCCCATAGTTGCATGCTCTTCTCCTCAGACCTGTCTCTGCTCGAGTTCTAAGGTCAAATACACGTACATCTGTCCCTCGCCCTTTCTGTCCTCGACATGCGAAATCAATGCATTTCTCAATCTCCAGCAGTTTTCCCTCTTTCTGTAGCATCTAGGGCGTGACTTCGGTTTGCTTCCTTCATCTGAGCTTCGGCATTTCACCTCCTGCCCTTCGGTGGCCAACATTTGAGGTCTCCACGTTTGTGGTCAAGACAAATCGCTGGATTGGGGATTATGCTGTTGCGTAATGCTTATCCTCGGACCTCCTCCACAATCGTGCCTTCGATCTTTTAAATTCGTGTGGCAGTAACACTCGAGGGTTGTCGTTGTAGTTGTCCGGCTATGGATTTAAAAGTAGGGGTAGTTGACTTTCATAACCACGGAATCGCACAAAGTCATAGTGTTGTGGAAAGAATTGGTCTTTTCTATTGTGACGAAGGGACTTCCATACCTCAGTGCCAGAACAGAAAGTTCATTATCTCACGAGACTAAATTCCGAAAGATATGACTTTTATCACGAGGAACTCTTTCATGTATGACCTCGTGAGTGACATTTCCGTCTATACTTGACCTCACAGATTGTGACCACGATCTACGTTTCTTTTCTCGATTTTTTGAAAATAGATCAAAATGAAGGACCCGCTTGAGATCTCTGGAAGGAACTCATTCTCAAATTTGTGCATATGTTGTGCCTTACTCTGCGACTTCGTGTATTGACGGTTCTCGACTTGACGGCGTGTTCCCTTCCATCTTTTTTATTTGACTCGATTTCCCTTCGGCTCTTGCACTTTCTCTTTCACATCCACATGTACTTCCACGTTTTAGGTCATATGATGGACTGCTGAGATTGATAATACTGTGATATTCATTAACATGCCCCGTGCATTGACGACGAATCGCTATGTTATAAACTCCGAAATTTACATTTCCAATAGCTAATCCTCCGCAAGGATGTTTGATTTTTTTGTTTCATACAACTAGAGACTCGCTGAATTCTTGAAGAGATTTCAGACTAGTTTAACTCTATAGACATGAGCAGATTCGCCGTCTTAATCCCATATAACGCACATAAACTGTGCAGCAAACATCGTTTGTGTTTCAACATCTCTGCATTTAGAGATCTCTTAACATTTAGAGAAAACAACCTCTTAGGTCAAGCTTGTGACTACAATTATGTGATCGAATAAATCGTGTGGGAGATATATGGACCTACAACTGTGATGAACCCGCATAGAAAAAAGGTCACAGCTAGTTATAAACGAAGTCATTGAATGGCATAAACCTAATCTCCCGTTGTTTTCTTAAAGATTCAGTATCAAATCTCATTTGACTACATCCAACTCTAAACAAAAATCCATGAAAGTAGCCCACCGATTTTAAAACCATGTACTAGGCTTCTATATGAAATAGTGTCCTAGAGTTCCTGCACTACATCCTTCTTCAGCATACAATCTTAAAAGCTTCAAACTTGACTAAAATAATACATTTAAGAAAGGATGGCAACTATAAATTTCAAATTCACTTGATACTGTAAATTCAGTATCACTATAAAGCCAATCCTCACCCTGCACAATGATATCACAGCTATAAAACATCCAGATTTTATATCCATACACTTTTTAATTGTTAAAAATCGTCATTTATAATTCAGTAATATAACGTGTGCCAATATTATAAAATGTGTTACTCTTGAAACATTTGTTGTTAATAATTGTAATAAAGAATGCTGCAGGTTCAAATATTTATGAAATTACATACTTTCACATAATAGTAAAAGAAAAAAATATCAATCACACATGAGTTTTAAAAATCAAACTCTTGTACCACGTTTCACAATATTATATACACTAGTTAGACAACCAGCAATGTTACATACTTAAATTATTTTCGCAATTTTGGTTATTTATTTCTCCAATCAAATAAATATTTCAAAATGATTTTATTCAAACTTTTTAAACCTGGACAAAATCATGCAATATATTCAGTTGACTAAAATCTCTATCGAGTATGATGAAAAGTGGCATAATAGATTTACAATTTATTCAAATTTACTTCTAGTATTTCAATATATCAACAAATTCCACATATAATGAATGAACAGTACATACAAATATATTTACGTGTAGGAATTTCAAAAAACAAAGCAGCAAAATAAAAATTGAAAATCAATTCACTTCTTAATAATAAAATAAAATTTATAAAAATTTAATTAAAAAAATACAAATAATAACCATAATAAACAGTTCAGCATTAAGTATCTTCAAGTGCAAATGATAAATCGTTTAGAAATCTTAAACTATTATGAAAATGCTTCAATTTATGATCATAAAAATCATATGAACTAAACTTGTCTCAATAAATTCAAAATATGTTTTTAAAGTGTATTTCACTTTAAATACATATTTTGAATTTATTGAAGTGAAATACAGTATAAAATAATATTAATTTATTATTCATTCATGAAGAACCAAACAAAATATATTGTAAAATTCAAAAGATGTGTCTTCAAAAACAAAAACAATAAAAACTTAAAAATTTTCAAAATATAAAATTAATAAAATTGTTTGCATATATGTTCCAATTTCTCTTTAAAATTATTCCAAGCAAATGATTCAAGAAATTGTTATATATAATATCAAGAATATGATAAAATAAATATATTCATATTCATTTATATTTATTTCAAGTATTTTATTCAAAATATTTGAAAAATGTAAGTTCAATATACCAAAGATTAAAAAAAATCAAATGTATTTTCAAGATTTTCATTTCAAATTTTAAAAAAAAATTCAAAAATTATAAATAATGAGAATCTAAAATTTTACATTTTCTAATAAATTTCACAAGTAATGGTTTTTATCAAATTTAAAATATGCACATTGACGCATAATTATTATTTTGGATTATATTACATAGTAGCTAGTTGTATCAAATTTTTAGCTTCCTGCAATACTCGGATTGATATTATCATTTGATAGATGACGGTTTCATGTCACTTAAATTTAAACATGTGAGTGTATTCATTCATAATTTTCCATTATGACTTGGCTTCATAGAGAGTTTTGAAATTTTATTAATTCAAAAACCTGTATTGATGGGTACGATTTAATGTTCTAGTCTTTGATGATCAAAATATTGGTCTAAGCGTCTATCAATAGCGCCAGTAGAAAGTTTTTGCGCCAATTGTGTAAATGATAACGTGACACCATCTTTAATGTTTGATCAATATATATCGCATTTATAACGTTGTAAGAAAGTGACAGTAATAACATTGTATACAAAACACAATCAGACTTTACTATGAAATGCTTATTGGTTGTGACAATATAATATTCCCTAGGAAAATGACACTTGCGTTTGATTTCTCCTATTGCTATAGGTAATGAAGAGAAAGTGATCGGACTCAAGACAAAGATAGTATGGTGTAACACTAGGATTTAGATAAAAGCTCACTCAAAGATCAAAACATAAATTTTGAATATGAAAAATATCAACAATGGTTTCACTCTCCCTTATATAGTGTTACTAACAAATACAATGAAATAAAATCCCATCATCATCATTTTTTATACTTTTAGTGGATAGATGATCTGACGGATAATCCTAAAGAGCAGACAGAATATTTGACTAATAAGGAATTCTACAACAATATGCATCATGTACAACTAAGCCTCGCAAGATAAGGTGAAAAGTTAATGGATAATGCAAGAATCTTTATATTTACCTTAGTGAGTTGATTTATTTAACTGCATGTAACGGAAGAAAAGGCGATGTTTGACGAGAAAGTGAAAGAAATGGAGGACAAGCGGCAAAGAGAGATTCCAACACCTTAGTAGAACATACAGAGCAAAAGATGTGGCTAGGTTGCGAGACAGTTTGCCGCGATTCTACGCATCAAGTGAGCAGGCAAAGAAGAACGAAAGCCTACTCAAAGCGCTTCTGGTCAATGTGACTGTACGAGTGATCAGATTAGAATTTGTAACATGAGTACAACTTCTTCCTTGTTGACAATGAGAGGGAAGATGTACTCATGTTACCTATCAACCAATGTTAGATTAACCATCGACCGGTCGTTAGTGTTTCCAATCTTCTCTGCATTCAGACTTCTGCAGCCAGTGTTCATAAATGTCTAAGATGTCAACTCGTAAGTGATTGACTTGTATCACTGCATGATTAGAAGTAAGTTGACACATATTTCAAGACTGCATGGGAGTATATAGAATTCAAATTGGGATCCAAAATTAGCGACGGTTTTGTAACGACCACATTAGTCCTCCAGGTTAGGTTGCAACATTTTCCTCGCGGCATTTTCTTGACCCAAATTTGTTATGCTTCTATCGAACACGAAGCTGAGTTTCCCGGCTTCGTTGAGCTCACGCACGAGTTTCACAACAGGCAAGGAGAGTTTGAAAACTTTTCTTTTTGTTCTCACTTTCCTTCAGCAATTGGAGCTCATCGTAACTCATGATCACCTAATGGTAAGATTGACCTTAAGCGGATTCATTTTAGACTCTGATCAAAGTGCTAGCTCCAATTAAAGCTTCATTGTTGCATTGTCATTATCCATTTAAATCTAGACAAGTAGGTTTTATATGTTGTGCTGATGTCCGATAGTTGTATTGCATTTGTGTATTCACAACTTCAAGTGAATTTTCAAAATTTGACTAGTTGAATCTAATAAACCTGAACTCATTAGATTCATAATTTGTTCAGACGTGAACTCATTAGAATTCAACTCACAATCAATGCTAGTTGTGATATAACTTTGTGAATTTACAATAATAGAAATAAGAATATTCTGACTTTTGTCTTTTACACATTATCCCTCCACCATGTCCACCTCCCCTCTTGATCTCTCTCACTCCCTACGAGCTCCAACAGTGCACCTTTTCGTTGTGTAACTCGCTTTTGCTCGTACGATATTCTTCTCTTGAACTCCATGTGCCTTCATAGTTAGTACACACTTTGAATTCCACCTTCGTTTTTGCTTTTCTCTCTGCAATCTGTACTCTGCATCCTTTGCCCCACTCCTCTTCTCCTGCACTGGTCGAGGCTAATCCCACCACATGCCCTTGCGTCTCTGCCTAGCACGAGGAAGAGATCAGT